CAGAAATGTAAACAATGAATTTAAATCACATTCATTATAAATTATTAATAATTAATTATTTACCACCGTCAATAACGAAAGATTACGTAATTTTCAGCCACCTGCCAGTAACTGGTAAGAAAAAGATTTTGAATTTGAAACGTTTTGATACAAGTGTAAATAAAATTAATTAGAGTGAAAAATAAAATGTTTACCTTATCCATCCACAGTTAACTGTATGACGACTAGTTTCGTTCCTTAGAACTACATTAGGTCATTTTGCATGCAAACACATCATCAATGAATTTAACTATTGTGGTATGTCAATAGATTCTTCACTGCTAACTGACTAAAATGAAACTGACTGTCGACTGAATCGTGAATCGTGATGTTTCTTCTAGTTTCTTCTTCTCTCCAGTGCCACCTGTAGTTCTGTTTGTTTTGTTCTTATTTTATACTTTCTTTGATTTGTAACTTGTCAATTACGTTTCAAATATAATAATTGACTGGAAAGAAGTCTGCTAATTTAAATAGTACTAGTGGCTTGGAGGGACATTAGTCCCTAAAAAGCTCAAATGTAAAACACATTATTGTAATATTTAAACAAACTCAGAATCAAATTATCTATGTGTTAGTATAGATATCCCGGTACAAAATATCTTTGACATAAAACAGTTTGTTGTTTGTCTTTGTTTGCTTTTGTTGATGTAGTATTATCAATAAATAATTTGAATTGTTTCAGAGGTTTAACTTTACTAAAGGCAGCAAACATGTATGGGTATAAATATTGGCTTACTAAGGTAGCTATGGTCTTTTGGTTAGTGATGATAAAAAGCTTCCCTGATTGAAATATTAGAAATTATCTTCGTCAAATATGAAAAGGCAAATAAAGGTGTGTTGAGATAAGCTTCGTTCTTGGTCAAAACCCTCTAAATTAGCACCCTGACCCAGTTATTATTTCAAAGTTTATGTTCCTTTTGTAAAGGCTGATCAAAATTAGTGTAAAGTCATCGCATTTACTAAACCTAATCCTAGATTTGTTTCTGATCACCATTATAAAAAAACTACCATCAGCCTAGTGTAAGTTTATATGGTGGGAATTCTCCTAAAGATGCTATTGGCTTTACATATTTTATCAATAAAGAGCCTCAACTCCTGATTGCTAACTATTTTACGACTGTTTAGGACTCCATTACCCAGTTATCGAAACCAATCACGAAATTACTTTTCATCAGCATCTTTGACATGCATATTTTTGGTAAGTTTTAAGACACGGAACCACCTCTAGGTTTTACTGTTATACATGTATGCTCCCTTTACTATCTCTAATAATTCTACTACTTATCATACTCTTAACTAATTTACTAAAAAATCACAAGTTTGCAAATTGCACAGTAAAACAATTTATTTCAAATTTCTAAGCTAAAACATGAATTAATTATTATTGGTAACGTTATCCCTGGTTTTATATAGTATACAGTAAATTGCAGAATTGGCTGGCAAATGAGTAATCCAAAATGTAATATTGCTTACTGGCTTGATTATAAATCACGACCATCTGTATTGAAGTAAACAAAAATCAGCAGTAAATGGCTTCTAATGCTATTCTTATGGAGAACATTTTACGTTATATCTAATTTAGTGTTAAAATTGAGGGTATTTCACTATTTTTCCCGCCGTCACGGGGTCGAGACCTTTAATTTGAGCCCTCTCCCGTCGTTCTACGACTTCCCAGTCGTCCACAATTTTGACGCAAAGAATCGCCTTACGTAATTAATATATAGATTATCAGTTATCTATATATACTTATTTTAATACGCAAGCAGGTTTTTTGTGACAATTACTCCTCCGAAACTACTGAACCGAATGACATGTTTTTGGTGTCATTGGAAAGAGCGTAACGTGAAGTTGTGCAGGAAACTTTCTTTTTAAGGAAATAATTAGAGAGTGAGACCCTGGGGCACTTTAAAGTTTAGTATTTCTCCATAAGATTAACATGGGAAACAAAAGTTGTTTTGAAACTCCAGCTGTTGTCAGAAATTAAAAGTGAGAAGAAGGACATATGTTGATTGTAATTGTAAACAGTCAATAAGTTTACTAATTTAACAGTCTGCTACAAGCATTAATTACTGACTTGATTGAAACGAAATATTTACTATTTGAATTTGGGTTGGCGTAAATATTACAATGGAAAAAGCGAGAAAGCCCGTTTGAACTGATATACTAAAAAGAATACTGAATTAACACTGTGCTGCATTTCTTAGTATTCATTGAGAGAGCTAATTTGCAAACTATGGAAACATAGGAAAGTCATAGAACACCAAAAAGGAGAAGAAATAGAAATAATGTTTTATTTAGAATTTATAATCGTTATTATGGACAACCTAATGCGGCTATGAGTAAGGCTATTTATAGAAAACACTAAAAAAACAAAACCAGCTTTTGAAAATAGATTAGATTTACAAGAAATTGTGATTATATCGATCTGTTATGTACATGATGAGTATTTCCATAATCTTTTAAAGTCATAAAAAATTATGACTGTTAATAATTTTATAACAACGCCTGTAATGCAATACTTAGCAATTGCTCGAATTCGAGCAACAGGGACACTAGTTAATAATTATTTACTGTACCATTGTCAATTCAGGGTGTTCAAAAAACGTGGGACATAATTTACGTAGTGAGTTCTCGGTCATAATAAAGAGAAAATCAAGAATAACATTTTTTCCCAAATCGCTTCGTTAACCAGATATCCACCATCTTGTATTTTTTACATAAACATTTTGATCTTTTTTCTAAATTTTTAGCCGATCTTCATGAAACGTGGTATTTAAGTTAAGGCAGAAGAGACCCATGTTAGAAAAGAAATTCATCTCGATTCAACTTAAAATTTCAAAATTGTGTCCATTTTAATTTTTTTATTAAATTAAAAAGTTAGCTTAAATATTACGACTTTAAGTTGTAAAATGGGGCAAACCTTATTCTACCCCATTTTACAACAAAAAATCGAAATATTTAAGCTATTTATAATTCGAAATTTTTGAAATTGGTATCGTTTGATAGGGAATTAAAACTGCTAAATAAAAGTGTACTTGACATTTTTTTCATAAACCAACCACGTTTTGTAATTAAAGTTTAAAAGATTAAAATGGCCGTTTTTAAACGTTAAGGGGAATCAAGGTGATTTTTTTGTATATGTATCTTTTCTATTTTAACATAGATACCAACTTTTATAAAGATCGGTTTAAAAAATCCAAAGATAAAATGTTTATGTAATAAATGCAAAATGGCGGATATCCGGTTAACAAAGCGATTTTGGAAAATGTTATTCTTGAAATGAAATGAAATGAAAACATATAAATAAATAAATTTACTTTAAGTATTTTATTCTACGACTATAAACCATGATAAGTGTTTTGAATTTAAAATGTTGTTTACGATTTTAGACGAAAAACAGTTAAATCCTCGAGATTAAATCTGCTTGGAATTCTAAAACAATTAATATTCATAAAACTATCATGTAATTTATTACATACTACAGATAATTTAAGTGTTTTTAACCATGTCAATACTAGAGCTTCTTCCAAATTCAAGCGTTGATTTTAAGAGTAATATATTGTCAGATTGAGTGTGTCCTGTGCCGTTTCCGTCAAAATGTTGAAATTGCCATTACTAAATCAACGAAATACCTACATACCTTGATAATTTGGTACTGTAATTTTTTAGAGGGAACACCCTAAAATACCCAATATGGAAGAAAATGACATAGTTGTACACGTTTACAATTATACAAAGGAAAATACATTACCAGTCCGGTAGGGTTTTACATACTCTTATTTTGTTTACAGGTTACAAGGGTTTTATTGAATAAAGTAACACTAAGAAGAAAATAAATTAATATTTCATCAATTTGTTTATTTGTCCTCTAAACGAAAAATACAATCAAATCACCAAATTTGTTTGGTCAATGTTTTGAATCTCAGTTTTTGTGCCGGAACCAGGTGAGGACAAAAAGTATGGGAAACAATTTATTACTCGGTCGTCCTTGATGACGGAGAAACTTTCTCCTGCCGTCCATGAAGGTCTTTGGGCAAGATTCTCGATTCTGGTAGATTTTTGCCAGAAACAGTCACGAATAGGCGTTGTACTCGTAAGATGAGCAGTATCATAAACCGAACTTCCATTGAACGTAGAGTAAGTACACCATGAATACCCCCTCAGCTAATAACCGTTTCGTATAAAAACATAAAATTATACTAGTACAAATGTTATGGTACAAAGATTCTGTACTCAATTTTAGATTAATATCAAAAACAACAAGTATTTAAAACGTATCAGTAATCAGTAATTTACTGGAATATAACTTAGGGTACAGCCAGTGAATAACCGTTTTGGTTATTAACTAGATTTTGGATAAATTTTCTTTAAACATTTTGGAAACTACGCTTTCTGATAGATTAGTGCTCTGCTAGGAAACACAACATCTCATCAGAAATCATTCGGATTTCTAAAAATCCTTCTAATCCTTCAGAAATCCTCACTAAAACAAGAATGAGAATTTGTCCGCGGGTTAAAGGTTATGGCAGATTACTAGTTGAAAAGTAAAGAAGTGGTCATTCACTAAAATTTATACTTCAACAGTCATGAAATTGTTCAGGGCGTTCTGCTTCGAATTGAGAATCTTAAACGAGTAATTTGGTGTAAAAGAGGGGGGTTAAAATTAAAAAGTGTCGTTAAATAGGCGTCTATTTATAAAGTTTTTTTTTATGGAACACCTCATATGTTATGATTGTTTTAGAATGTAAATGCAATTTTAAAATATTAAGAGGAGGCTATGACACATATATGATGGTGTTTATTTCAGTATCAGAAAGTCTATGGTGATTAGTATTCAAAAGTTTTATTATGATGAGATGGCATGTCTACTTTATCAATATGCTAAAGTCAATGATGACAATAGGATGTCCACTACAGTAACTAAACTCAATAATAAGCACTAAAAACTAACATTTTTACAGGTGTGGTTTCAAAATCGCCGAGCAAAGTGGAAAAAGCGCAAGAAGACGACCAACGTCTTCCGCACTCCCGGTGCTCTCCTGCCCTCTCACGGTCTACCACCCTTTGGCTCTATGTCGGAGGGACTCTGCCCCTCGGGCATGTTCGGTAGCGGCGACACGCCCAGGTGGGGCGTCACCTCCATGACCTCAGGTATTCTTCTCATTTCTCTTATTTATTATTCTCTAAATTATTGGTAAAATACACTGGCCTTGCTATGCTCGGGTGTAATGTTTTTAGATAACAGTACTGACTGTACTTGAACACAGTCAAATACTGTAGAGGCTTACTAGCATACAAGTCTACATCTGTGCTATAACCACCTAGTACAAGAGAGAATAATAAATTATCGTGCTGAGTAAGATTGGTTGTAGTGCTTGCCAACAATCGAAAGGTGGAAACTGGACTAGCTGTCCTTGATCATTGAGCTTTTAATAAATGGTCCTGGCAAAAAAATTGTTCTTGGTCGGTAAAAAAGCTACATAAGTCTCACACCCGTATTTCAGTAAATACACACATCTCAAGTGGTAATGGTAATGGTGTCCACAGGTCTGTCCCAGCTGTCGCAAGGTGGCATGGGCGGCTTCAGTCAGCTGACCTCCCACCAGGGGTCGCTGGGGTCAGGTCTGCCCATCAGTTCATCCATGACTACCAATGGATCTACAGTTTACCAGGCGCACTACGGCCTCAACACACTAGGTATGTGAGTTGAACTCTGTAACCGAAGTTCCATCTCCGGCTGACTGCCAACCACGCAGCAACAAAACCTGTGCCTTTGAGCGTTGTGCACGTACACACGGCACAACTCTTTAAGGTGTTACAGATTTTGAAAGCTTGAAATTTTAGCATCCACAATTGTCAACTGCCCGACAGCTAAATCTACTCAATTTTCACCCATTCTAATTTATTATTAAAACGTTTTTATTAGCTCGCTTTCTTGTCCGGTACAAATTTTGCAATAAATTTTATACTAACTTCCCGATGAGCTAGAGACTTGAAACTTGAAACATAGCCCACAAATGGAAGACAATGCAATATAATATCATTTAATTTTCATATTTCCCTTGGGCTACGCCCCATGGGCTTGTTTTTATTAACTCGCTTTCTCACAAATTTTGATACTTCCTAATGAGCTAGAGACTTGAAATTTGAAACATAGCTCACAAATGGATGACAATGCAAAATTATATCATTTAATTTTCGTATTTCCCTTGGGCTATACCCCATGGGCTACCAAATTTTCCATTTTAAAATTTTGAAGGAATGTAAATATATCAGTTAATTTAAGTCAGCTGTAAATACTTAAATTTGACAGTTCAAAGAGCAGAGGTTAAGAGGTACAGGTTATGCTCCCAAGAGATTATTTCTACAAACAAACATTTCAAAATAAAGATAAACAATCTGATTGCAGATATAAAGGTGTTTTTTAATCATGTCAATTGTTATTTATTTATTATTCTATAAAGTAAACAATAAATTAAATAGATTGATATATTTATAGTTAGTAGGTAGGCCATACATTCAATCTAATACATAATTATATGAAAAAAACTCAAATAAACCTTAGATTTCTTACATGCCTCTGTCATAATCTGATATATATGCTTGAAATGGATTTAACATCCACACACATTAAAAACTAAAAAGTAGAAAATAATTTATAAATAAAAAAACTTTTTTAAAACAAAATGTTTTTAAACACACTAAAAAGTAGAAAATAATTTTTAAATATGTGGAGAGGATAAATACTTGTAAGATTTAAAACGAAAAACGTGGGGTGCATGCAATTGATAATAATACATTAGTTCAATAGGTGAAGGTAATTGTAAATTATCTATTGCATGCACCCCACGTTTTTCGTTTAAATCTTACAAGTATTTATACTCTCCACATATTTAAAAATTATTTTCTACTTTTTAGTGCGTTTAAAAACGTTTTGTTTTAAAAAAGTTTTTTATTTATAAATTATTTTGATACTTTAATTGACAAAAACAATACATTAACATCTAAATCAGCTGGAGGAGGCATGTAGCTCTCTCAAAATAATTGTGAAAAAAATGTATCCAATTTTAAAAGTAAGTTTAAAATACTGTGATAATATTGACTGAAGATTGACTGGAAAGTTTCTTACTCTTCTTAGAACGGAACCCATAACCGTGAGTGATAAAAAAGTTAATTTGTCTGGTAGTTGTATTTAAGTAAGATTTAAAATAAATCATGCATCGAAGTATTAAGAATTTCGTCGTAAAATAATAGTCTGTAACGGATAAAATCTTAATATTGAGTCTACACTCATTCACATATCAACCATGGTCATATCCATATGTGGGAAATATAAATACAGAGGTATGAAGGCAGGAGTGCATGGAGAGTAAATAAAAAACAGTTTGTGGTTCTGTTTCGTCACTCAAGTGTGAAATTTCTCAGCCAAGAGTCAGTACAGCTGTGAAAAGTGACACTTGGGCTCATGTCTTGAAACAGTTACAGACCTTCAACTATCTTGAGGTTTGGAAGTTTAATACATAGGAGGAAAATTATTATTTTTATAACCATTGCATTAATATTAGAAGATATTGATATTATTATGGCGTAGACTGTGTATTGGACTGCTAAAATCAAAACCAAATCAAAACTCAAATCATGGGGCTTAGACTGCTTCCAAGAGAAGAGTTTAATATTTCTCTGTAAGAATTGCCAATGCATAATGTACATTTTAATGCAAGGCGAGTAGTTAAAAACAAAAAGAAACTGTCAAAATGATTGATACGTTTAAAATGCTCAAAAGATAGTAGCTAAAGAAAGAAAGTTTCTGGTGAAATCTCGACTGGAATTACGGACCCAGATGCCTTTTTGTCATTCATCAGTTAACAATGATATAAAATGTAAAAAAAACAATATATTTTTTAAAACACAGTGTAAATTTGAAATAAACTTTGTCCTGAAAGAAAAGAAGCCCCCAGAAATGTCAACGGGCAACGTCACATAGCACAGAAATGATTTCCACATTTTACCTGTACGAGTACACCTATGAAATTACTGTTTGTATAGCCAGAACATGGTTTGTATAAGATTTAGTAACTCATTTAATTTGATTCTCATTTACTAACTAGGATCTAAATCTGACTACCTTAGGGGGTTTTCACCCAAATTGAACTGAGGGTAGTGAACAAATTCTAGCAGGCATATACCTTTTTTAGTTCAAGGTTCAAACGTTGTGGACCTGCAATGTGTGTTAATTTTGGCTCCAAAAACTGGAAAATATGGTCAAATTTAGGTTAATTAATTGAAGTATACTATACAAAGCTAATTTGCCTTTATTATGTCAATGACACACATGGCTTCTGGGTGCAGAAACAATCTTGCTTAGAATATTTAATGTTTTTTTTTCAACTTAGCTGTTATTTTTTTCAGACCCAGTATTCTATGGGCATGATGCTGGAGGTGACTCTCTCAACTGATACTGAAAGTAAGATTGAGAGGAAATCTACAAACATAAGTGAGGAAGCAGAGTCCAAAGATAGACACAGAAGTAGAGGAGGCAACCAAAGAAACTTTTCAGTAAAATCTTTCACAAAAATACTTCCTGTTTTTTGTTAATATTCTTGGAGGTGAAAATTTCGGTTTTAGTGATGAGAAAAATAAATAAAATAAGTTAAAATTTTTTTGCATTTGAAAAATTGTTCTGCAAGTATTTATTAGGTAACACCAAAAATCCTGCTTTGAAAGATGCTGTATCATTAGGTTTCGAGTTCATATTTTTTTCTACAAGCATCTACGGAGTAGGGTCTAAACAAATCTTTGGCTAAGATGAACTTAATTAGAGATCAGATCAAATTTAAGCAAGACAACTTGTAATTTCAACAAAGTATTCAAGAGCAAAAATATTTTTCAGGTTAACATTATCTTGTTACTTTGCTTGCCTCTTTGAAAAGTGTTAGAAAATAAACCAGGAAACTTTTGTCAAATTTGGATAGTATGCTCCTCCAATGTTGTACAGATAAAGTGATATTTTAAGTGTTTTTAATTCTGAGTTTCAGAAATTGTATAAAATGTAAGTTTTTTTACATTTTTTTTATAACTTTAAGCCTTTAAATAAACTTCAAATTTTTTCCCTATATTTGTGAAAAATGTTACTATTTCTATTTCACTTAATTGAAGGGATTAGGATTGAAGATAGCTTAGAATGACATATTTTTAAAGTATCATCTTATTTAAAAAAAGATCCTGCTAACAGTTATAAAACATAATTTGATAATACAGCGCATTGTACAATTTCCCACAACTGAGGTGAATTTAAATACACGTTGTGTTTTTAATTTTACAAACTGTACATTAAACGTTTAAACACCCCATTACCTGTAAATATACATTTTGGATATTTTTATCAGCATAACTAGATGTAGCTCATGGACCTCTATCATGAGATGTATTTATGTTTTTGAGCTGATTGTAGAAATAAATGTAAAATAATGTTGAATGTAAACAGAGTGTCACGTAAAGAAAGACATTTTTATATTTTGTTTAGTTGTAAGTACTTGTAAAGTTGACTATGTGAACTGGTCCTTCTTTATTGTTTACTATGTGCAATAAAGTGTGATGTCTAATTTACATTGACTGGACCCTTTTACAATCCCTCGTTTTAAGTGAAAGAAGTTTGGCAATGCAGTATCATTCCAGCATTTTAGGTTAAATAAAACCTATAGGTACTTACATTAACTTCATACCGTAATTAATATGCTCCTTTTTCCCCACAAACTTATTCCAAAGAAACAGCGATAGATTTTGATAGCGATTGACATCCTACCACACAGGAACCTATTTATAATAAGACTCATTCTTGGCGGATATTACTAAGGCACTGAAATAATATATACCGTATGAGACTTTATGGAAAATTATCAAAGGATAGTTTGATTTTTAAAAATTAAGAATTACTTCCTAAATACATGGTGTCCAAAAATAATAATTTAGAGCTTGAGATATGGTCTATGGTTATAGTGAAGACGTATTCTAAAATCTACATTTAGGATATTCGATATTTGCAATTTTTCTTTATAAATAAACCATTCTCCTATCCCTTCTGCTCAATTTTGGCCCAAACATAATATGTACTTTTACATTGGTAAAAACAAATAGACTTTTACAAATAATATCACCAAAGTTCAAGTTAAAATATATGTCAAAATGTTATAGAGGGTGTTTACAATTTTGAAATTGAAATGGCGAGAAAACCAGCATACTTACAAAAAATGCAAAGGATACACTTTTTGATACCCTGTGTACAGAAAAATTGTTGAGAGCAAAAATTTCTCTGTAAGTAAAATAAAATTAAAACTTTTATAAATGAGGATATACACAAATGCAGTTTTACGCTTCAAATTTAGTTGTTTTGTAAAGCAGCTTTTAATCTTTCCACAATTTGCTCATCACTAATCTGCATTCGTTTGATCAGGATCTTCTTTATTGCACTCTCAGCTCTGAAAACCTGTAAAAGGCAAAATTGAAAAGTCAATATCAGCGTTTCAAGGATTGGTAAGTGCCAATAAACATCTTAGCTCATTATTTAATTCCTTGTAAGGCAACCGGTTCAATAACTATTACATAATATTTTATGCCTTTGTAGAAGTCTAGAGATTATTACTTATAATGAAGTGAATTGATGTAAATAGGTTTTCACACATTAAATAAATTAAAAAGGACGTTTGTCAAAATAATTGTTGATCTGTCAAGTAGTGGTGAAAATATGGAAGCTCTATACAGTCGCTAGAAATGTATTACTGTGCTGTTAAATAACCCCTACGACACTGCCCCTTCGCTAGATAGTGGCGTCCCCATCTTAAATAGTTGATAACAGTTAAAACTATGCCCTTTGCCCTTTGCAATATAGGACCTTTGCAATATAGGAGTGCCCCTGAATGTATTTTAAATGGTGTTCAGGTGTATTCACATATTATAGGAATCTCTTACTAAGGCAAAAATTAAAGAGAGAAAATTTTTAGGATTTTTTTATGAGGATAGCTGGTTTACCTGAATGGGAGAGACTCCAAATTAGTACAAGAGAGAAAAAAGCTTTACATTATATACACACTGTAAAATTGTGTATCTCTTGTGCCAGTTTGGAGTCTTGCCCATTCAGGTAAGCCTGCTATCTCCAAAACAAATCCTGAACCCCTTGGTGTTCTATGTTACATCTTTAACCTAGAGTGAAATTTTGATTTATCATAAATAAATTTGTCAAATATTAGACATAGCCCCTTTTAGTACTTGGATTAAAATAGAGTTGTATCTTTGTATTTTATCTCAATGTTATAATTGGGTTTCTACAATATTGGATTTTTCAGTGTTTTCAATTGTTACCAATTTAAAGCCTAGAATAGGAGTGACAACGGAAACACATTGTCATTGATTTTAAATATATTAATAACGGGTTTTAAAATAGTTTTTTGTGTAATCCAACCTTTTCACTGAAGCTGGTTTAGGATTGATAATTGACACCACTGTGCTAAGTTTGGTTTACCAACTTACAGACATTTTCTGGTGAAAAGGTTAAACAAAAATTTGTCCCCAGATTTTTTTAAACCCTGCATACCTGCATTTTTTTAAAACCTGTTCATCGCTGGTCTGGAATGTTTCTTAAATTATTACTGAGAAACTTGGCTACCGCATTTCTAAAGAAAGTGTAATCATCGAGTTTAGGTAAAATCTATCCCCAGTTCTGGGGATGTAAGTATATTATCGACTTCTTCATTCAAATTGTTCTACTTCGCTGTATTTGACACTCACCGCCACATGTTCGATTGTAAGATTATCCGGGTCAAGGTCCAACACCTTGGCAAAGAACAGCTGCAAGTCTCTGTCCTCGTAGGGGATGTACCATATCTCATTCATGTCACTGTTGGGAACAGGCTTCTTCTGCATGAGCAGTTTATCTTTTGAGACTTCTGCAACAAATAATTGGTCTAAATGTACACAATATCCTAAGAACACCCATGAAACAAAGAGAGGTTTAAACAGATCCAGATATAGTTGTAAATTCAAACAGGTAGTTAACTGTTGAAGCTGATAAGCAAATACTCTGTTTAGGGATTTTTTTAGAGGAAGTGATTCTATAAACCTCCACCTCTCCCTAACTTTGAAAAAACAGCTGACATACCGATTAAGTTAAAATGTTCTGGGGGAACCCAGGAAGCCTTCCCTTTAAACCGCCTACATTTTATGAACATACTATAGTTTTGGTTGACCTGATTACTTCACTTCATTAAGATCAATACACAAATCAGTGGTCTGTTATGATCAAAGGCAATTGAGTTATATCATACGTAAGGTATTTTAATCAAGTATGTGAGGTTTAATGTTCACAATAAAGTCGTGAACAGCATTATCTACCATTATCTAGTATCTATAAGATAGGGAAAATAACAAAATTCCTAAATTAGATGCTTTACAAGCACTGAGTATACTCGCAATAATGCCTGAAAATGAAATATTATTATCAGGGCTACTAGTATGGGTAATTTACGTAATCTGAGATGAAATTACAAGTATTTTTATGTAAATTTACGTACAGTATTCAACAAATTTTTGCAACTTCAATACAAACCCTGTATAACATCCTGGTCCCCATACCGTATATCCACATAGACAGACGTGTGTTGGAAACTATCATGTCTGATCCAGCTGGGGGCATCTTCAGCTACAGGCTCCTATAAAATAACTGTCTTAGAACATTACAATATCATACATATCGTAAAAGTGTTCTCCAGATTAGAATTTTTAATTTTGAAATGATAAATAATATTAAGGAGGTTGTTTAAAGTCCTTATTTGTACCAAAACCCCTTGCAACTGGTTGATCCTGATACTGTATTATGAGTTATCTATCAAGAGTAACATAACAGCTGAAAAATGTATCAGACATGTACTGCAACAGAAAGACAGGCTTAGAATTGCTAACTAGTTACGGGTTAGCCAATATTGTTATAACTTTATGTTTTATGCTTTGTTATTGCTTTATGTTGTTTTGTTTACAATTAGGCGGTTGAGGGGAAGTGATTTCATCCCCCCCTCACCCAAACTTTAAAACGTCTAACAGCTGATATAAATATTAAGCTAAAATAAATGTTATCCAGCAATCTGACACATACTTACTCCCGTTAGCTTTTCAACAACCTTTACCATGGGTAGGGAGTGGGAATTTAACAATGATATTTTATGGGTAAAATCACAAAAGTTGCACTAATTTATGAACCGTAATTTTTACGGCAAATGACAAACGTCAATCAAAATCAGTGTAAGTTAGCCGTTTCTTTCAAAATTCAATTTTTCTGTTATTTTATGGGAAAATCGCGCAAGTACAAGAACTTTTGATCTGCAGTTTTACAGCAATGGGCCGTTGTAATGAAAATCGTATAAGTTACATTTGGGTTAGTTTAACTTTTTCTTTCCTTAAATGGGTTTTTACTTTTTAGTAAATCACAATTAAAAATCAAAATTTAAAAAAAATTAAAAAAGATTGGAGATACCATGGATTATTTTCCAGTTCTTACATATCAAATTTCATCAAAATCGGACCACAGGTGTGGTATGTTGCTCTGCACACAAATACCGACTTAGACGTCACTTTAAAAACTAATTTTTACTTTTTTGAGTCTAACAACATTCCTCTATAACCTTCTTTAGAAAGTGTTAGCTTTAAATATTTAGGAGGAAAAACCACTTACAATTGGTTCCGAGTAATCAGAGGCATCAAGAAGGTCTCCTGAAGAAATATTCCCATGACTTAAATGTAGCTCACAAACACACACAACAGCCATTGACACTACTACACTCACTTGTTGGTACATGATAACAGCTGATAGTAAATTAAAATCAGCTGACTGTAAAAACCAGCTGATGTGAAACCAATATCTACAACAATCAAAAATCACTTTGGTTGAATCTTACTTTTGAAACACTTACTTTTCTGACCTTTGAGACGGCATGTTGGCATTTCTTTTGTCTTATCAGACCTTAGATGATCTTGATAGGAGCTTCTCACACAAAACGTTTAGTTAATTCAGTTTGTAACATATTAATAATTAGTATAATTTGTAATCTACACACTTCAGTTTGGAACTATTTAAATCAACTTTGCTATCTATTCCTTAAAATTTTTATTGCTTTAAAATGTGCCCCTGGGATAGTGAAATGTGACATACAATAGATTTAGTGGATTTCTTTGAGTATTTATCTAAAAAATTGCTATGAGTATTTTCTAACTTACAACAATTTTTATATTAGCTTGAATACTCCCAGAATCTTATGACAATTGAATTTTTGTCACAAATTTCTAATATTTTGTGAACACATTTCCTCTTTGCTCAGAAAAAAGACTATTACAAAAGACTATTACAATTCTATCTATCTATTTATCAATTTATCTATCTATAATGATATAGAATATGTACTTTAGAACTAATAAAATAGCTGGTTTTGCAGGAACTGCAAAATTTTATTTCCATTAATTTTACAACAGTTTATAAAATCTTTTATTTACACAATCTAAAAATAAATCCTTGGACTAAGCGTCAAAAGATGTTCTAGTTACTTCATCGAGTTCAAACTCTTCAATCAATTTACGAATGTACACTTTCTTCTGCACGGCAATCTTTGGGATCCGAATTTTTCTGATGTTGGTGGCATCACCCTGAAAAATTATTACAAATTATTTTTAATAATTTGTACAAAGGAGTTAGGATAAAAAATAGATTAAATTTATGTGAATGTATGGTACAAAAATATTTTAAAATTAAATTGTGTAAATCCATTGTAACACTACTGTTTTCCCGTGCTTACCGTATTAAAATATCTATTTATGTGAGATTAACTAAAAAAAAGCACCTGAATGCTATTCAAAAGGTTACTGAAAAAAATCCATAGAGGCTGGGACCTCGATAACTTTCAAATACCCTCGATTTTATATTATCCTTAACCTCGGAGTCGGCAGGAGCGTCGGCCATCTTGGATTTTCTGCCCATAACGGCAATGTTAATGGTTGAAGCATATTACGGTATTGTTTATTAAGATAAAAAGTTGCAAAATATCTCATTTTAAAGCTCTTCAAACCACGGGTATGATTTGCTATCTACTTTTTAATTTTTAATTGTTATTATTTTGTCAAACTAAATAAGTATATTTACTTCAACTTTAATTTTTTCAATCTCAAAAACAAAAGTTTAAAAATCCTAAAAGCAATTTACATGAAAAATATATTTAAGAATCACATACAATTTTCTGCTCGGTAATCAAGCTTGATTAATATGCTTCAATGTGAACGCATGTTTTTGCTGAACGGTGCTCGGACAACCACTGTTTAGCCAAAAGATGCCAATCTGACGGTCAACAACAATGCAAAATTATTGACTCCTGCCAACTCTTAAAATGTCAACCTTTATAACAATTCTTACTTAAATAATCCCCATGAGAAACATGCTATCAATAAGGTTCTACTGTTATAGTTTGGCCAATGTAAACAAATGGGTACAAGTCTATATAGTGATCTCGTGGGTGACTTAAAACTTTAAAAATTAGGAACATAAGTTATACAAAATCAAATGATAAAACCTTTTTAAGTTCTATGTTCATACTTTTTGAGAAGAACAAGTAAAGCCACCACAGGAACTATTGTACTAAAACAAACATTCATTTACCTGTATTATTTTGATGGATTTTCTAGAAACAGTAAGCACTTTGGATAAATATCGTTCCAACTCATCGTCAATCGCACCTGGCATGACAGGGGCAAAGATTTGGACATGTAACTGCTTGCTGGTATAGCCTGTGAAAAACAAATTTTAGAAAAAAATTCAGTTACACACCATTCAGGCTCTTCCTTGCTGGTCAAAAGTATATATCCGGCAAAACATACTAGAGCTGAAAGCGCACGGTTGTCCCATTAGTGTGGTTCCTCCGTACCATACTTCTGTGTGGTAAATCTCTATACTAACTTTAAAAGTTTAAAATGCAATTTCTAATATATTTTGTTTAAATAAGGGGTTTGGGAGTTGAGTTGAGCCAAATAGGAGATTTAATAGATACATTACTTAGACATAAAGAAATGATGGGGAGTACAGTAGAACCCCTCATATTCGGCCACCACGGGACCAAGCCCCTGGCTGGATAACGATTTGGCCGGATAAACCAACCTACTATGAAAATGACAATTTATACCTAATAATAATAGGTAATCAATATATGCAATCAAAAGTATCATTTAATTCTGTTCTGGGATCATTTTTAGAAAAATAAACATGTTTGTAAAAAGAAAAAAAAAATTTGTAGGTTAAAGTCATTAAGTAATGAATGTACAAATATTATGATTCCAGGTAACAAACCCTATTAAATGGAGGTAAAAATGACAATAAATTGTACTTGAAGATAATTAGGACTTAAATGGTACATGCATTTCTACTCAACATTCTTATTTTGTGAAATACAAAAATTAATGTATTGTACTGTACTAACCCCACTTTGGAAATAATCAACCAACTGATCAGATCTTAGGCCTTCTAGCTCAACTGAGTATAGTGACTCAGCAAATAAATGTATATACAAACAGATAAGTAAAGAGAACAATTTATTTTATGACTTGAGCGGTCACAAAGACTAGTGCTTGCATCTAAACGTCCGTAAGCTGTGAGAAAAACATTTTGATAATGGCTTCTTGAAGGGGCCGGATAAACAGAGGACCGGTAAAACCAAGGCCGGATATGAGGGGTTCTACTGTATTCTAAATGGATTTTCATATCATGATTAAATTCAAAACTGAATAATTTAAAATAAAATTCTTACCAATAATCTTGTTTTCAGGGCCCTTCTCTATTAAAACTTCAAATATCACAGATTTGTTGTCTCTTTTGTCACTTTTCAGTTTGATCTTTGTGATATCAAACTCAGGAATCTGAAAAAGTCACAATAGATTAAAATTAAATACTGCAAATAAAATGTTTTTTAACTCCCTACATTCATAAACTTAGAACACAAAAAGAATTCAACTTTTTGTATTTACTACAAGCGCAGTTTTTTAAGTAAGGTCCATGTTTGCTGTAGCTCTGTAGTTTGTGTGTATGCCGCAATGAGACTCCTCGCTGCTTACTGAAATCATTTGTGGATATAATGACACCATTTGATAATAATTTTAATTTTGCCGGGTGCCTTGAGATTTAAGAAATCTTCAAGGGATGCAATTTTGACTTGGTTGTCTGTTTAAGTTTGGGTTTCCGTCATTGTCATTTATACTAACAGAGACCTTTAACTTGATGTGCATACAAACCTATGCTTACATTAAGAATTTCCTCTGGCTCCTGGCGGGCCTTCCTCCTGAGAAGGTAGTTTATCACTGAATAATGTTTTAAAATGATTTTTAGGTCCAGTGACTTTTTATATATATTAATTTAGGTGCCCCCAGAACTTTTAAAGCGTTAAAAATAGTCAAACATTTTCCAATTTTATGCTTTTGTAACTTTGTAACCATTCAATTAACAAGATTATAAAGAGGACCATTCTTGTATGAAATTTATCATTGATCATCTTTGTAAATAACATACTTTGAGCTAAGCCGTTTTCAAGATATAAAAAAAACTACTGTTTTTTGTTTTTTAATTTCAACCCCTACTTACTTTTTGCTATACAATATGAGGACTATATTGAACAGTTTGGAGTCAAAAATTAGCTTTCACTTTGGATGTTGAGGTTTACTAAAAAAAGGTCTAATTGCACCGTACTTTAGAAACATCAAACTTGATGCAAGCAATTGGATTTTTATGAAGTTCTGAAAAGAAATGAGTTTCAGTCAACTTAAAATTGAATTTTTTTTGTAAGGGAGAGAAAGTCACTCACCATCCTAGACATGAGTTTGTTAGTCTGAGCGTCTCCGAGGCCAGGCGGAGGGCGAATGTAAGTCCGGTTCCAGGCTGTGAAGTTGAACCCCATGACGTGCACTCCGGGGTCATCATCTTGAACTTGACCCTCCCATGGGGGACGAGCCTCATGGAAGTACTTGGTGTCCTTCTGGGCCAACCTGGAACAAGAATATGATCAGATGTAGATTTGTATAAAGAGAAACCCTTTGGAAAGTAATCAATGGTTTGGTTATTTATAAGCATGATTTGATCGTTCAGTACCAGTATTCAACAGCTAAAACAGTTTAAGCTTTGAAACAACTTGGGAGTTACTTTTGTAATTTACTAAGTACTTTGTTAGGCGTAATGTTCAATAAAGCGTTGTCTATTGTCCTATTTAGGTTTTCCCTCATATAACAAACACAAAAATCCAAATATTTTGAAAGCAAATATTTGGACACACACATGGTCAAGACAAAAAGAAGTAAAAAAGTACCTAATCTGATGTACAACTAACCAAACAATTTACACATCCCATCAACTTATAAGGCTGTCCACTGTGTATTTTAGATTAGTCTTTTTCGCCAAGCTCTATAAAACAAGTGAACTGCTAATGAGGTGCGCACAGAACCTGACCAAGACAGCACTCCAGCACTCTAGCCTTTAACTGCCGTTTTCCAAGACATTGACGGTTGTTGGTAGAACTATCGTTATATCTTTCTTGCGTTTGATACGTTTACTAGGTAGATTTAGTATAATGCACACTATAAGTAATGTCCAGCTATTTGTAATAATTAAAGAATAAATGTCAACCAATTAAAAAAAAATAATCAAATCCTTTTATCGTTTGGTAGTGCTTGCTTAGTGCATATTTAACAGTGGAAGGTAAAACTGACAACTTATCTTTATACAAATTTAATAAATTGAAGTTGAGTTTGCCAATTTAAATGTGAATCTATTTTTATTCCTAAATAAAACAACGGATTTCGGAAATTTATAAGATTTTTGTTTTAATTTAGGGTGATATTGTCTTTTATATCGTTGGGGTAAAATTGTACCATTTGTGTTTTGGATGCATTTATGGGAAAGCCATTGTTAGTGAACCAGTCCTCAAGAGAATGAAGTGATCACCTCTCTAAATGGTGTGATGTGAATTTTTTTCTCTTCGCAAATGTTCACTGTGTCATCTGAATACTGAAACGTGGGTATTAGACACTTCCAAAGTTAATATAAAAAAATGAATAAACGTGGCCCCAGGATTGATTCTTGAGGCACTCCACGTGGATCTAATACAACAAACAGGGTAAAAAACCTTCCACCTCAGGTTATTAATACCTGAGCATTTTGTCTACAAGGTGTATCTCTGCCTTTTCCGCCACAGCACTGTCTTCTGGATCGTAGTCTACGACAACATCCCACGGGTCTACTTGGTCCTCGGGAGACCTAGGGTCCACAGTGGTCCAGGAACATCCAGGAGTCGGCCCGGAGAGAGCAAGAATAACAAGAACTGTGAACATCACATCTCAACATTCACTGGGACGGTCACATTATAACTGTTATCTTAACTGATTAGACAGATTGTAGTGTTTGTCAATTAAAATATTATTGTGCTTACAAATTGTATTTCTTTATTCATCAGCAATATTTTTAAATGCATAAACAAAACTCTATTTGTTTACAGGTGGTCCTCAAGATTAAACTGATTTTTATTACAACTCATGTCAAAATAAGGTTAAGAAAATATTTGAAACTAAATTAAAACTTACAAAGTATTGGCTGTTCACAAACTTTAATTGTTAGATCTTCGTTTCTAAATTTCTAAACAATTAAATTTACTTTTATGGTTGTTTTAGGTAAGGGTGAGACATTATGCAATGCTGGTTCAAAAAAAAGTTTCTAATACCTACTCCTCCTAATACCAACCTCAATCTTTCAAAATGTACTATTTTACATTGATATTTTTTCATAATTGATATTCTTGGAATACAATTCCAATTCCAACAATTCCCCTACTTTTTAGAAGTAAAAAGGCCCCCTTTGAATGTTTTGCACGACTTAAGGCCAGCTCTTTTGTTGGTGACTTCAATATAAGGTTGTGTGCTGTGACGATTACAAGTGTCGCTGAGACTGCAAGATATGCTCACCGGTGTTGTGTACCGTGGTCGCGGGAGAAGATTACCGGTGTTGGGAAGGACTACAATTAATGCTCCTCCCAATATCCGGCCTTTAGGCCATTCCGACCATGGCCTGGTCTCGTCATGGTCGGATATTGAGGTGTTTTACTGTAATACAAAAAAATTAAGTGTTCCAGTGAGGTAATCTTCAAGCTTCCCACTATAGTGTCTCGTACAAACAAGATTTGTTGTGGTACTTGGATTTTTGGAGGATTATTGTGACTTGCAATATATTATATGTAATTCACAGTTAACATGTTAAGGTACATTTCTGAACTAATTTTAAATCAAAATCCTAACCAACAATTATTTAAACTATTAATTTCCTTGATCACAGCTAGCGAATGACAGTTTTGGTATTAACTAGATTTGAATTAATCTTCTTTTTAAATTAAAAATTAATAGTAGTAAGTATATAGATACATCATGAGTGATCAGAGGAGCAAGAGCAAGATGCCTTGGGTAGCTTTGCTACTGAATAATATCAGCTGTTTCTTCAGCCATAAGGCTATCAAAGTACAGCTGGTTCCACAAGATCTACTTTTCTCAAACTTACTATATTATTACTAGGCGAGCATTATGACCATGCAGAATTTTTTTTGCATGATAATACAGAATTAAATTCTTCCTTTTTTTTGACAGGTATATCAGCTGTTTCTCAAAGCTGACTATTTAATATGCTAGAGTACTTTGCGAGTAATACTGCTCAGTCCGTTCTCCTTTCTGCTGTACCCTGTATTTCGATTAAAGATGCAATAGTTAACAATCAGTTGACTGCTAAATACAGCTGAGTGGAAACCGTGTTCGCCTAGTATACAAAACCTTGAATGTCTTATTCTTAAAAGTTGCAATGTGGTTAAATGTCAAAGTGGTGATTTTGGATCAGCTACACTTCAAAAATCCAAAATATGAGGTTTGAAACCTTAATGTCAAGTGTTTCAATGAACAATCAACTTCACCATCAATATTAGGGATCAAAGAGGTGTAAAATAAATAATAGAATCTACTTATAAAACTAAACATTCACATTAAACATTTAATTTCACAACTTAAAGTGAAAGTGCACATTGTGCAATAAAACCAGACTTTAGGGTGTGCAGAAGATCATGATTCAGAGAAATAAATTCTGCAAGATTCACAAAACTACTGTCAATGAAGATAAAGATAATACTGATGACTTTAACGTCCTACTTAATTAGCTGAAATGACTTCTCTTGACGCATACACAGTTATAAGTCTTTTAAATATTTAATTACAACAGTCTATCCTTCCTTCTCAAAGCCCAGCCTTAAACTCGACTTCATGATAATCAAGTTCATCGAGAAAATCATGTGTCTCGTTTTGGAAAATAGGAACGTAAACTTTTCTCCCCACCACTCTAGAACCATCTTCCGACAGTGTGTCCCTAACAGTCAATCCTGATATCCTCTCAGGGCAGGACATTCTAGGCCCTGCAGAGAACTTCTTGGACTTCTCCACATCCGAGTTCCAAACTCCCTCGAGGATCTTCCTCGTCAACTTGAGCGTCTTGCTACCCTGATAGTTCTCTAGGAGAGGTCTTGCTACAAAGTTCGGTAGACTCTTCTTCAGCAGCCTCCCCCTCACGATGATCTCCTGGTTGGGCATGAGGTCCTTCAGCACCTTGTCCAGGATGGATGGGTTCTTGATGTAGTTAGGAGTCTCAGAAGGATTCATATCTTCTTCGCTCAACACTGGCGCTGGGCCGGTCGGAACTTCAGACCTGTTGAGAATACTCAATGTAAGGGAGGAATCAGTGTTTGAACAAAGCTTATGTAACTTAAATAATTAGTTAGGTACTTTGACTAAATAGAATTATACATATCATTTCTTTCTTTAAGTTACCTTAAAATAAACGTAGTTGAAATTACCCACAGACGGAGTTTTACTTGTTTAAGTTATCTTAAAATAAACGAAGTTGAAATGACCCACAGATGAAGTGAGCTGATGTCTTTTGTGACAATTTTTAAAGTCAAACTAAAAAGATATATTTTTACAGCCCCGGCACATCAAGGTATGAACTTTAAGGCGAAGATGCCTGAGCGATGAGTGTTAAATGGTTAAGATGACAACTATATTGCTGCCTAAGATCAGCTGATCTTTATCCATGATCACTCATTAATCCCAATGATCAAAGACAGCTGTGTCCAGTTTTAAACCATTTCTGATTTTGAATTTTCTCATAATCAAATCGGTAACTTACTTATTACTAAGCGAACACGGTTTCCACTCAGCTGTATTTAGCAGTCAACTGATTGTTAACTATTGCATCTTTAATCAAAATACAGGGTACAGCAGAACGAAGTAACGGACTGAGCAGTATTACTCGCAAAGTACTCTAGCATATTAAATAGTCAGTAATTGCAATGCAATAAGCTTTTTTTGGCTGTATTTTAGTTTACACAATTATGTTCTTTAGTGTGAACAGTCAACACAACATTTTATGGTGTTCTCACTTAGGGTCTATGAAGAAGATGGCTTCTTTATATACAAAACTCTAAATCAGTTCTTCTTCTTGAGAGATTGAAACGTCTAAAACCTCCATTGTCCAAAAATGCCACTGGTGTTGACATGAAAAAAAATGCATTCCAGTTCTAACTTTTTCAGCCATTCCAAAAAGTCTCCTTCACTGTCATACTGGTTTATTAGATCCGCAAATCTTGTAGTAGCACCAGACATGTTCACAGTTTGACCGTCAAAATAGCTTGTAAGAAAATAAAACTCAGTATTTATTTTGCAACCTATGTATATTTTCTATTTAGAAAATCACAACTATAAAAAACTCTCTCACCACAAATTGACCTCTCCAATAACAATTGAGCATAAAAACATAAACTTTAAAAGTAAACAAAAACAAAACTACTAGTCAGCTGATAATTCCCAAATACAACTATGTCTGTGATTTACTATGGTATATTAAAATGATTTTCAATCTTTTCGTCCCGAGTCATACCCTAATGGCATGGACCTCCAATCAAAGTCGCTCAACAACACAAATCAGATCACCACTTACCTAGTCTCGGTGTAAGACAGCACTTTGTCCCTCTTCATGGTTTCCTCGGCCTCTGCCTCTTCCTGCACCTCCAATGTGAACGGTTGGAGGTTGGCGTGAAGCCGTTGTTGACATTCCCTCTCCGATATCGCTCTTGCTTTCACCACAATTCTCCTGGCCATCTGTTGCTTGTCAGACTGTAGAAAACGGTTTGATTGGCCACAATGTCAAATTATTTGTAAAGTACAGAATTTGTATGTAGATTACACAACACGCCAGGGTGTGCAATTTAAAGTGAAGATGAGCAAACGATGAACATACAGTAGTGATAAATTTGTCACTAAGATCAGCTGTTTCTAACAGAAGTGTGTTAATAATCTAACATTACAAAAGTGAACGGAGAAGCCAAACATTACCAGTACAATCTCCACGTCATCCCTTCGGACTTGCAGTACATTGGAGATGAATCTCCACAACTCCATGTTGAGAGCATCCTGAATCTCCGGAGAACTCTGGACGGCTGCCCACAGCTGATTGTGCTCTCCGCCTACTACAGAAATACACAGGATATACAATCTCTAGCTCTACATGAGAAAACTTTGTAGGATTGTAGAAATGTAGATAGCCCCTTGTATGAGGGAGATAGGATAGATTGGCTGTAAATATTGATTTTTCATTAGTTTCTGAAATCTTCATAAATGGCTATGAGAAGTTGAAAGAAATCGTCACAATAGTGAACCATAAGTGAATCGACATCACCATACAAAAAGGGTGTGTTGCTGTCCTAGGGGTTAGCGTCTTGGAAATTTGGGGGAAAGAGAAACTGGTTTGTTTCTCACATATTTAAAAACGTTTGATGGGATTGTACCGCTTTCCCCTAAAAGCCCTTGAGATTCGCTCTTTGAAAATATCAAATCAAAGAAGCCCATTTGCAATTATTTTACTATTGTTAACAAAACTTGCAAACCTGACGCTAAGAGGTAAGGGAAATACTAGAAAGCTGAGCGATATTGCATACTTGTAGCTATGTAAGATGCTAGGCAAACTAAATATTGGTGACTAAGACGATGTGAAATTAATGAGTAACTTTTGAAATGTAAAGCAGGAAGTGCCTATGAATCCCTGCCCCCTCTTAAGCTATACTGGGAAGAATTTATTTTTCCTACAGTTACCTAACAATGTACATGTTCTCTCACTGATTTGAGAAAGCAAAGTGGCCAATTCTCTTATCAGTGAGACAATGTTAACATTGTCTCACTCTAATTACTTTGTCTCACTCCAGATTTGCAACGTGAAGGCACGAAATAGTGAGCACGTAACATGCAGGCAACGTCGTATGCGCGCGAAATACGTTGGCAGCACTGGCAGTAAATCAGCTGGTCAGCTGTTGTACTGTTGTATTTGTCACTTCACATTAAATGTTATATTAAAAGTTCACTTCTGTGTAAAAATAGGTTATGTTTCTTCACCAATTTATTTGTTTTATGGTAACTGTCGGAAAAGTATAATGTGCAACTCGAGTTCAAAGTACAATTGCCTCACTCGAGAAACCATTCCTCACTCGCCTACGGCTCATGAGTAAGGATTTCTCTCGAGTGAGTCAATTGCTCACTTTTCTCACTAGTTGCACAAATAACTATATACTAGTAATTTTGCCACTAAAACGAGCTTAAAAATATTATGCTCACCCATTAGACGGTTCTCTTTTCCTCTGATGACCCACAGGTCAAAAAATATGTTCTTCTGATCGTCCCTAAACACCTGTGGAAGAGGCACTTTTTCTTCTTCCGATGCTTCTTCTTGCCCCGCTGACTTCTTTCCAGCGTAGGACTACATGATACAATTATTGTAAAGAAATTAACGACAAAACAGTGAGGAATAACAAAAAAAATTTTAAGTAAAGTTAGTTTACTTTATTTGCAAAAACAATGACATAATTGAGTAAAAATTAAATAACAATTTTGAAGTTTTGTTTTGTTGGGATTTTTTTTTTTTTTTAGATTAAATAATAAATACAAACTAAGTTTAGTTATTGGGACAGTAAAATATTATTTGTAAAAGAATGGAATGTACAAAAAAACACCATTGAGAACCAGTTGTTATCACCTATTAATATTCTGAACTACTAGTCTTTTAATCCAAGGTGTATAGTTCCGGGTAATGATGAGTGCTGCAAGTTAATCAACAATGACTTTATTGGAGAAATCAATACCGTAGAGAAAAACAAGTTAATATCCTAACAATCTATGTTCAGTTGGATTTATAATCATTTTACAATCGATTTTCTCTCAAAAACACTTTTGCTCATAAAACGGATCAACAATTACGATAGTATAGGTTAGTCTAGGCACTCAAAACTTACCTTAACAGTGTCAAATATGGGGTTGAGTATGTTGTCAGCTTGAGGTCCCAAGATTGTCCTCAACTCAGTAAAGTTTACAGGTTTAAAATTTGAAATATTGAAGTTATTCATTGGCACAGAAGATACGTATGTTTTGATAACCACGCAATAGGTGAACACCACAAAATAAGTGGTCATAATTGGATTCCTTGCTAACAAATGTGTCTATGTTTGTATTTCAGTTAACATTAGTTTAACTTTCACACAACCGAACATAATATTTCCAATTCAACTAAATACAATAAAAGCACAAAGAAATCCAAATTTTCTTAAAATCATGTTTTTACTAACACTAGAATGTAAATAATTTCACTGAAAACATTGTACGTCCAAAGTTTTTCTGCCACTGATTAACTACTATGGCTTATCAGTAAAATCTTGAATATTATTGTTGATATGAACTAATCAACTAATGTAAAATGAATCGCTGTAAAAATGGAAGTCTTTTGTTAAGACCCTAAGTATTTCTGATGATTGATGCATGGATTAAAGTAACTTAAATAGTACATCAAACATAAATCAAATATATTACCAATGATAAACACAAAATGTTAAGTGACTTGGATAGGGAATTCTAGTTATTGACAATAGAGAAACCCCACAGATAGCAGAACCCAGCCAAAAGAAGATGTAAAACAACTGTCATAGGAAGATTGTCCAGTCCCTGAAGTAAGGATATACCAAATTCCAAAGAATATTGAAAGCAATCCACAAGGAGTTTTAGTCACAAAAAGATCAAAAATCTCAGTCTGAGGAAAATGAACAATGATTGGAGGACAAAAAATATATTTTCCAATCAACTTAAGATTAAACTACTTCAGTATATTCCAGCTCTTCGACCAGGTCAACAGTGGCATTCCTATACAAAATGTTAACAACTCTTCTGCTAACAACATTCTGTTTGTCTGGACTCAAATAATCAAGCATGATCAGATCAGGTACTGGGTGAGACATTTCAATCCGCATTTTAGACTTGGGATATTTCACACTTCTGTCGGTTCCTTCAAGAATTCTTCTCACCACCTTTAATTTCTTCTGACCACGGTAATCGTCCAGAACTGGTTTAACCGGAGACCCTGGTACTAGCCTTCCTCTGAACGTTACTTCCTTCTGTACTCCTAGATCTCTGAAAACCTTAGCCATCAAACTAGGATCCTTCTCGTAGTAGGGCTTCATCTCAAGAAGTCTTTTACTTAGTGACTTTTCTGACAATTCTTCGTCTTTCTTCAAGTTCTTCTCGTAGTATTTCCATTGACCGTTGTCAGATTTTGCGGTGTCGTTGTGAGCGTAGACTGCTAGTGGAGTGTGGGGAAACAGCAATGCTTGGCTGGTTGATGGTACCTCGCCTTTTACATAAGGTTGTAAGTATTCTTTTATCTTGTTTATACATTCTTGTTTAGACATTATACCATTCCTTAGCAAAACTCTTCTTCCGATTTCTCCTGGAAACTGGAACAAGATTCATTAAGATTATTTTCTCATAGTGGGTTGGATCGTTTTGGCGCATTCACATGAGTACTATTCAATTTGTGAAAAACTAATTATTTTTTAGTGTATCATAACAATAAATTTAGTGAAATTGGAACAATCTAATTTCTAAAACCCTCTAGCACCACTATAGATACTGGACTAGATAGCCCATTTACTCTGACTGGAAAAGCCAAATTTTATGTGATAACTATTTACAATTTTGGTGTCTTGTTATGGTTAATATCTTTGACTTCACGTGCAGCAAATCCACAAATATTTTAATGGTTTGGAACACTGTCCATTGAACTTCTCTCTAATGAAAATGGTTTAGGCATTAAGGAACACGTGGAATCCACCAGAAACAAAAAAAGTATGCTGCTCTTAACTTGTGTTCTTTATCACTATTTTTTGCGTTGGCTTTAGTTCAAAAGTTGTTGTAACAGATACACAAATTATAATGGTACCCACCATATAACTTAGTTAGCTAACTCTACCGGTAAGTTAGATAAACTTACTCCTTGCGGTCTGATTCATAAAAAATGGTGGTCTATGTAGCAATTTGATCTCTACTTCATGGTAATGCATTGTCTATGACCAAAGACAATTGAAATTATAGAGGTAAACTTACAAGTAGTATTTCAAATTTTGCCATGTCCACTGCTAGAACTGTGGCAATGAATTTCCATAAATTATATTCAGCTGTGTTGCGTATGTCATCAGTGGGTCCAATCGACACAACTAAGACTCCATTGTTAGCAGCTGGAAAAATTGTAAACAAATCGAAATAAGTATAAAATGGGGTTGATTAAACTTTGATGACCTTGAAGTTCAATATTTTACTCTACTTTCTGTTAAACTTAAGTATCAAAGTTGAGATAATTAGACTTGATGTGCGTATAAACCTATCTACCCTCCTGCTGCGGAATCATCCGCAAACCAAATGTTTCGTTTACCACTGTAACAGTGATAATTTATAGTTTAAACCTTTTTGACAAAACATACAATTGAAACGTTTAATCATTATTTTAAAATTTCATCACTCACACATAATCCTGTTATCATCTCCCTTGATAGCATAGATGTCAAAATAGACATTTTTCTCATCATCACAGTGAACAAATGACGCCCCAGAATCAGTTGATTTTCCAAAAGGGCTTGGTATAAAAATTCCAGAATCTACAGGCGCTGATAATACACACTGAAACTGACATGGAAAAGTAACTACAATGGTCCCTTCGTGTTAGTGATGTGTTAATTACAAAGAACTAATTACAGACTCACAAACAGTCTGTACTACAACCAAGTCTGTACAACCAGTCTGTACTGTATTGCAACTTAGATCAATTCTCTTTCCGAAAAGACGTACACAATCACTATACAAGAGGTAGGGATAAAATAGATATATTGCAGCACAGATTGGCAAAAACCAAACGTTCACATAAATTAAATTGTATAATGTTTTTTAATAAGCTACCTGAAGAAGCAAAATTAGTTTCTTACAGTATTTTTAAAAATAAACTGTATGACTGGATTGTTAAAAATCCCTTTTACAAAATTGATGATTTTTTAAGTTGTGAAATAAATATTAGTTTTTGAAGAGTAAGTTTAAATAAAGCTTTTATTTTCATGTAAGTGGCTATTTAAATTTAGATATTTTGTACTGTAAACACTGAATCACCTTGTAACTATGTATAACAATGACGTGTCCTATTTCTTTTATAAAGATCAATGGAAATAAATATTTCTTATTCTTATTCTTACTAATTGTGTACAGTAGACTCACAAACATAGCCTAAAATGTGGCTGCAAAGGCGGTCGAGTTAGTGAAAATGCAATTTATCGAGAATAATAGGTTTAAATGTGAAGAAATTCATCAAATACACCATGAGATGATTTTAACATAACATTAAACAGAATAAAAACTCGCATATGATTGGACATGGGACATCGTCAAATCAGTTTCAAAAGCAGAGTGAAAAAGACAGTTTTCCAAAATTATAGAACTTACATAAAGGTTGTGCCACTTTTGTTTAGCCGCAATGTGCCATTTGCCATGTGTTGCCAATGTGGTGCTAAGTGTTGGCAATGCATTGCAACTCTTTTGTTAGCTAGTGTTTTTTGTAATATTGTTCATTTATTGTAGCTCATAAAAACGTCTTAAGGATATGCAGTAGACTTGCAAACCTATTTCTTATGTCAATTCGACTTTACTGCATGTGAAGTCCAGGTAATTTGGCAAGAAAACTTATATTACTTTTTAATAGATTGAGGTTGGTTTTTTTTTAAGATGAGATATTGATATTGATTAGAAAATGTCGAAGAATTGTAACACATTCACAAAATGAAATTATGATTGTAATGTATAACAGAAGTGAGTTTGTTACTTTAAAAAATCAAACCTTACCACAAGGCATAAATAAAAAAAACTTCACTTCCACATATTACACTTACACTACAGAACTAAACAAAAATACTTACCTCAATAAATAAAGTCAACGATAAAACATTGATGAAAAATAGTATGAATGCGAACAAATAATCCAGTGATACATTGAACATTATAGTCAGTTATATAAACACCCTGTATATTCGTATTCATTTTGAACAAAAATAAACAAGTATCCAAAACACCTTATCACTTCACAGATAGTAATCTTTAAGTTGGTATCAATGACTAATCAAAGCTAAGGTGACACAGTGGACATACATATTAATCACTAATCATTCAATTTAGGCATAGTCATTCAAAATATTTATGAGAGATTACATAAATATCAGCTGATGGTAATAAAATTGCATTCTGCTGAAGAATCAAACACCAAAAAAGTAGGTTACTTAATGTACACACACAAAATTGAACACGCAAAATCAACTGCAACTGATTGTGTGAACTGTAAAGCGTGTTCCCACAAGGCAGGAGATGAATACTACATTATCGTATTTATTAGAAACTCAGCCTCTTTCCTGCACCATTTGGTTAATTTAATTATCTACTCATCCCTCGTAAAAACTCTGAATATTGTACTTGTAAAATCAGGTGTACCAGTATCCACAGGGTAGGAAATGACTATACAAAATTACAGCTAAATATTTATTTGCCATTATAATTCATATACTTAAGGCACATATATACTGATCATTAGGAAAGGAATTACAATAACAACATTAATTTTCTAATATAAAAAACTAGGCTATATGCCATATTCACTATTTAAAAGCAACACTTTACACTTTTTAGTTTCAAATGTGCTTTGTCCTTTAAAAGAATTTTCAAGAAATTCAATAGAGATGACATAATCTTGAATGAAATGTTGATAAAAAATGAATTGCACTCAAGTTGATTAGTTTCAGTCTTTTTCCAAGTAGTTTATCCGTCTGTAAAAATGTTTATGAAAAACCTTTTATATTGGTTAATAGGGTATTGAAAATGTGAGCACATGGTATGGATAAAAATTAAAACTCTCAATTCATATATTCAAGTCAATTTATATATACCGACCTCAATTCTAACTTAAGTTACACAAACCAGAACGTTTGTATAATTTATATATTGTTTTAGGGTTTCCAATAAAATATTTATGTGTTAAACATAACCTGCATAAAACTTTAGCCAAGGATCCTCTAATACAGGAAATATGTAGGCTTAAACAAGAATAAAAGGAAATGTAAATTCATAAAGTTACCACAGCAGCATAAGTTTGACTAGTTAAAGGTTCCAATTCAAGTTAATTTTTTTTAATTTTAGCTTAAAAAAACCTTATAACATGTACGGTAATGTAGAAAATTAGTTTGAGTAAAAAAACCTATTCCTTTCTACAAATATATGACAAGTTTGTTCAAATGTTTTTACCACATTGTGCAACGGCAATAGGAACAACACATTTCATTATCAAAGTATTAAATTGATTCCTAGCACGTTTTATATACCTAGAAAAATAATTTATGAAACCTACAATTTGTTTACCTAACTATCGATATCTACAAAGTAACTTAATTCTAAAGTATAATCATATGAAATATATTATTTTAATACTATACAACATCTACATTGATGATTAACATGTGAGTTTTAAGGTTTTATGTTTATTGAGACATTTCAGAATCAATAAAATTACAAGTATCATTCCAGAAAAACAATTACATTTTTTAACAGTAAAAACAAGACAGTGTTACGTCAGTTTAAAAGGTTACTTGAGTCTTTGAAGTCTTTTTTGGACTGAGTAATCAATTTATTTCTAATACTTCAGATCAAAACTACATTATATAATTGGGCTTAGTTCTTGAGATGTTCAAAACCTTTTCCATTTTACACATCCTAATATCAGCTTCCACAAACTTAACATTTTACAACATAAACACTATCGTAAAGTAATCATTACATTTCCCCGTTAAAGTAGTAGCTAGTTTTACAATTAAAAATAACTTGTTACAACTGATACATCAACAATGAGTTGCTGTAAATGGGCATTTTTATCCTCGCCTCGCTCATAAACTTTTTCATCTTCCTAAACTGAAAATGCTACTCAGTGAAAAAGACAGCATCTTTTTGTTGCCAGCAATTATAATATACTGTCAGTACTAAAATACTATTCTACAGACCACAAGAAAATTTTTGCAAAAAAAGTTAACACAATTTGTCTAGTTGAGCTTGAAAACAAAATTGTATAAATTTGACTAAGTTAAAAATCTGTAGAAAAACTGTGGGTAATTTTCTAATTATCTTACAAGTGCTAGCTCACTTGAGTCCTTCTCAAACCTAAACCCAAAACTTATACAAACCTATCACAATGATGCACTTAATCAGTTCTTTCCAGTCTTTTCAAACTATTACTACATTAATACTTATTTCACAAATTGTAAAATATTATACCAGCACCTCAAAAGATCTGGAACTCAAAAGTCCATTTGCCAAAATACAACTAGATATAAACACATTCTAAATAAATTACATCCTGCTAAAATGAATTAACTGTCTTGAAAGGACTTGATTATTAGTGATTCATATTTGATATTTCACACAGAATAAATTATGTTGGCCATCCTGCACCGCCATAATATTACTTAAATTGTGTGTTGTAGCTCAAATTACATATTGTGTAATTAAAATTTAAAATTCACAAGTGAATCAACATCACTGACGATTTTAACATTGCTACATGATTTTAACAACAATAATCTTGAACCAAAATTGTTACATCATAAATTTCTTTTAAAGATCTTTTCTAAGAAAGAAGGTCATTGCCCAAAAGAGCCTCTTGAGAATACTCGCATCAATCTTTTTACATGAGCCCTGAAATTTTTTTTATTAATCAAATTAATCATTCGGATTTCACGAATCAGATTTATTTTAAATTTGTTTACTTTTGAAATTTAAGAAACAATCTAGAAACAGATTCTTCAACACACAGCAAGTACAATTCTTTTTTTCTTTTGAAGACAAAGAAATCCATGTGAATTAAACAACCCTACATTTTGAACAGTGGGAAAAGAAAGTTTATTTGTCTTTGATAACAAAATAATACTCGTGATTAAGTCTTTCTCTGTAAAATATGTTTATTCCATATTGTAACTTGCGTACTCAATCTGTTCCTTAAAACAGGTTAGAATTTAATTTGAGCATCAGAAAGGTATCAACAATAGTTATTCTACGCTTTGATAGTAGGCCTATACAGGTATGCTTAAAAGGGTGGAAAAAAAAACACTTTACATGAACAACAAAGTATTTTACCAAAAAAGTCTGTAATTGTCGAATATGTGGTCTTGAAAGAAGAACTTTACCATTCAATTAGAATTTGGTAAATAAAATTGTGAAATGTGAAAATAATAGATAATATGTATTTCGGTTACAAATAAACATAAACATTTACTGTCTAACCAGTCCAAAATCCTACATTAACATAACAATGACTAGTGAAGGAGAAAGAAGTATCCAATAAGAATGATACACTGACAAAAAAAAATACAAATATATCCTATGACATATTTTGTGAAAATTAAATCCTAGTATCTAAAAAAATCTAAATCAAATAGCCACTCTCCTCTTGTCTTGGGTGATTTAATGGTGCCGTTTTGGTAGAAACAGAGTGGACAGCAATTAAAATCGCTTCTTCGCACTACGGGCCTCAAAAAACTCGGCTTAAAGGCTAATTCGCTACATGCTTACGTCAAACTAAAAAGTTCTGAGAAAAAGTAAAACACTTTTTGAAATTAAACCTACTGCAATACAAAATTTCAAGACTTTTAGACTTCACTTTCCTTAATAGGCTTTTAGAAAAAAAAGAAAAAAATAGGAAACAATATGATTCTTGGCTTCTAAAGTCCCCAAAACGTTTCTAAAACTGATATCCTTAAAACGTATGTCCTAAACTTCTCTTTACTTGAAAAGGCACTTCAATTATAATGTATCCAACATTCTCTCTACAACCGGTGTAGAAGTCTTTATAATCATTGAACTAAAGACTACATCATAATTTATATTTCACTAACTAAAGAATCTTTAGTACCAATCACTACTATTAAAAAGCCAAAATAGGAATAAGATTTAAGCATATCAAAAATTGTATACACTTTACCGCTAAATATTTGTGAAAACAATGTCCATGCAATCAAAATAATATTTTCTTCAATTGCTACACTTATACACATTTCACAACTAGCCTGTCGTTATGTTAGACCATAGACAAAGAATTAAATATAGACTGTCAGCCGTGCAGTGGTTACCAAGGTTACCATAGGTTCTGGCGCACACCACTGGGAGCGCCATGTAGTTACATAGTGCGTAGGCCGTAACAACATGGCACTCCCAGTGACGTGCGCCATAACCTATGGTAACTGCAGCAGAGCTGACGGTCTATATTTAATTCTTTTTGTCTATGGTTAGACAGTTGTATCGTGCTAGCAGGTTTTCAGGGATATGATATGAAGCGTTTACGATACTTTGGGTAGACACAATATAAAATTACAAACATCGTAGTCGGAAGAAGCTCTTTGTCAGTCGCAGTTGAGTTGTCCGGAGAGGTAACTGGTCTTACCTTTGGTCTAGCTGTCACTCCTACTGTCCTGCAAAACAGATAACACTACTATGACAAATGACAAATGACAAATGACAATTCTTTATTGCACATAACATCTGTTAAAGTTATTACAAATGTAATACACAGACAGGTACATTGTCAAGGTTTCTAATAAATAAGGAAATCTAAATAGGTATATACAAAACCTAGGATTTAGCCAGTAAGTTACCCCTACAAAGCTACAGCATGGTGGAACTGTTTATGTTAGGAGAGGTTGATGAGAGATTGGGTGTCTGTTACCAGGAGTCGTTGAAAAATTCCTCAAGAGTGTAATATGCTTTTTCTACTAAAACTGTTTTGATTTTGTCTGTAAATTTTGCTAAGTTTAATTGCTTTAAGGAGTTTGGAATTTTATTGTAAATTTTTAACCCCATATAGAGAGGACTTGTTTCATATTTTTTTAAATTATGAGTGGGGTATTGAAAAATATCTTGTCTTCGGGTATTATATGAGTGATTACTAAGATAATTTTGAAACATACCAGGATTTCCATGAACCATTTTTAAAATTTCAAAAACGTATATTGAAGTTAGAGTTAAAATTTTAAAATTTCGAAACAATTGTCTACATGATGTTTTTTTGGGGCAATTTGCAAGAGTTCTGATTATTGACTTTTGTTTTTTAAAAACTTTGTGGACATCTGTGGCTGTCCCCCATAATGTAATACCATAGCTTAAAATAGAGTACACATAAGCATAATAAACATTTTTACATACTTCCAAGGAGGTAACCTGAACTAAAACACTTAAAGCATATCTTGTTGGACTGAGTTTTTTGTTTAGAAAATTAATATGTTCTGTCCATTGTAGTTTACTATCCAAATATATCCCTAAAAACTTTACTACATTTGTGGGCGAGGCAGTAGTTTCTGTTCCAGTGGTTGAATTTCTCAATTTGAAAATTAAAACACTAGTTTTATCTTCATTCAAAAGTAAGCCATTTTTTAAAAACCAATTTGCTATTTCTCCAATTGTTTCTTTGACATCATCATGTAACATTTTAACAGTACTTCGTTTGATGAGAGCTGTTGTATCATCTGCATAAAGGGTAAAGTTACAGATTTGACTTGAAAAATGAAAAGGTAAATCATTAATATATGTGAGGAATAAGAGAGGACCTAGGATTGAACCTTGCGGAACTCCATAGTTATTATTTGCCCAAGAAGAGTATTTGTTCCCAGAGGCGGTTTTAATTACTGTTCTTTGTTTTCTATCGCTTAAGTAAGACTTCAAAAGTTCAATTATTTGTCCATGAAAACCAATTGCTGTAAGTTTTTTGATAAGAATTTTATGATTAACACAATCAAAAGCCTTGGATAAGTCGCAGAACACACCAGCTGTGCACTGCGACTCATCCAAGGCCTTCAAAGCGCAATTTACAAAGTTGTTTAAAGCTGATTGGGTATTTAGATTTTTACGGAAACCAAATTGTTCCTTGCAAAACTTGTAGTTATTTTCCAAAAAGCTAGATAATCTAGTGTGAAGAATTTTTTCATAAACCTTTGAAACATTACTTAATAAAGAGATCGGTCTGTAGTTCTGTACTTCATTTAAACAACCTTTTTTGTGAATGGGTACTATTTCTGAGAGTTTTAGTAGTTGGGGAAAAACACCTTCTGCAAAAGATTGATTAATTAGTGTAGCCAAGATGTTTGATATTTCATTTGCTGACCATTTCAATAATTTAATGGGTATATCGTCCCAGCCACAGGCATTACTGTTCTTTAAACTTAGAATAGTTTTTTTTACTTCAATTTCATTTGTTTGACAAAGATTACCTAATTTTGTCACCTGAACTGTAGGATTGTTAGCATACGGATTTATATTAGCACTGTGTGGCATGTTTGGCAGCTTAAGTATATTGACAATGTTGGAGTACTGATAATTAAACAGTTCCGCCACGACTACAGCATCATCAATAATTTCATTGTTGACCTTAAGTTTAATGTGAGGCTTAACAATTTCACTTTTAACACCTACACCTAATTCTTCCTTTACAACATTCCACATGGCTTTGGACTTATTTTTTGCTTGCATTATATACCTATCATTTGCAGATTTCTTAGCTTTTTTAACAATCTTTTGAAATATCTTTTTGTAATTTTTTACATAGCTTAGAAAATTAGGATCATTACTAAATTTTGCTTCATAATGTAATTTTCTTTTGTTTATTGATGACACTGTTATCCCTAAAGTAACCCAAGTTTTTGATTTACTTTTATTTTTTGCTTTAAAAGGTTTAACTGGAAAGATTTCATCCATACTTAATTTAATCTTAGCCAAAAAATTTTTGTAATTGTCATCCACTGAACCATCTAAAGATAAAGACATCAAATTACATCTCAAGCTATTAATAAATGGGGCGATGGATCCTTCAGGAAAACGTCTTCGATAGGATTTTACAGAGTTTGTTGATTTTAATTTAAATTTACTACTAATAGGTAACTGAAGGAATAGAGCATTGTGGTCAGACATAGATAAATCAAGATTCTCAAAAGGAGCTTTACCATAATTTATAGAAGTTAGAAAGTTATCAATGCAGGTTTTTGTTGTTTTTGTTATTCTTGTTGGCTCTTTGATGTTTATCAAGAAACCATGACTACTAATTATATTTTTAACCGACTTCCCAACTACCAACAAAAGGAGGAGGTTCTCAATTTGTTTGTGGCGATGTTTTTTTTTTTCTATGTATGTTCACCAATTTCTCTGTGATTCTTTTACCGATCAGTGTGGTTCCACCACCAAAATAACCAGGAGAGTTTCTATTTGGTACCTTATATATTATGTTTAAGTATAATATTTGTTTCGGTGAAAAATTCTAAAAACCTTAAATATTCAACATTTATTTTGTTTACATTTGTGCAGATTGTTTACATTTGTACAGAGAAGGCAGTAAATAATGATGACATTCCTACAGCTGTTAGTTGAAACCATTTAAATGAAGCTAGAGACAATTCTTCATGAAACAGTTGCTTCATATTGATCAATAAACAATTTCTTGCCATACATTTTGTTTTGGTTACTATAAAAAATGTATTTTAACGTTTGATCTGATTTGTGTATACAGTAATTCTGTTTTTAGTATTGAATATTCTGACTTAAAAAAAACATATATGTTTCAGTAAATAGCTGTTTGATATTGACAAATAAAGGTGTATTGTGATAACCAAAGCATTCGTAAAACAGGTCTAAATATAAATTAAATGCAATTATTCCTTACACGACCTAAGAAGTGTGACATTTCATAATCGTCAATTGTCTTAAAAGTGTTAAATATTTTAATTACTAAACATGCATTTGCAGATGTGGAATGTTTATTGATATTCTCTACCCAGTTACTATATTATCATATCAATACTATTATGCCTGCTTCGGAAAGTCCTAGAGGAAGATGATTTGCAATTTCGACTAGGCTATATCATAGACTAACCAACACAAGAAGACTTCTCATCCCATTGTAAATTTTGAAGCACGTTTTTCGTGTCTAGTTCATGTACGTGACACATGGGCGCTAGTGTCGACGAAGCTTTGTTTCTATTATTTTAGGGTTAATTTCTTGATTTGTGCTTTACTGTTTGGTTATATAACTAGGGGACAAGTTATTGTTTATGATTAGATCGTATCATTTGGTTAAACGAGGTTTTAAATGGCTGTAATAACGGGAAAAAAATTGTAAACAAAACACGACCTCTACAATAAACCGTACAGAACTAACAATAAAATTGTCTTCAGCTGTTCCATAAGGATGAGAAATCTACTAAGGGAGTATGTTTTATCTATGGCTATATCTTGATCAAACAAAACCACCTATATGGCTTGCACCACTTTTAGCTGAACCAATCTTTCATACACATATTTCATTTGCAGATGTGGAATGTTTATTAATATTCTCTACCCAGTTACTATAACATATCAATACTATTATGCCTGCTTCGGAAAGTCCTAGAAGAAGATGATTTGCAATTTCGACTAGGCTATATCTTGAGTAAACAAACCCCCCTACATAACTTACACCACTTTTAGCTGAACCAATCTTTCATATAATATTTTCCAAAGGTACTATACGTGTTATCGACCAATTTTCCACTTTTGAGAGATCTTTTACTGCTGGTAGCTGAGGAATAACTTTCATATTGTTCCAAAAGGCTTGAGACGTTACTGTATTTCTTTTTATAATGTAGAAGTACACCGATTGCAGGAAACGATGATGTCTGACATTTCAATGTATCAAGAAAAGACAATTAGTTTTTCATTAGGCCTAATGTAATGGACAACTCTCTCTTTCTTAGGGAATATCTAAAAATGTTTATTTTCATACCCATTGATTATGTAACCTGAACAGGTGACTCAAGCAGTTTTAAAATAATGATTGTTCTGTGGAACTTTTAACTTTTTTTTATCCGTTTGTGGAACTGTTTTACAAACAGTTTTGCTTATCAAAAAACCTCAAGTAAGTAATATATAAGAAATTATACAGTCACTAAAAATTATGAAATAATTTATTTTTGTAAAAAAATACAACCGACTTCAAACGCTCTAAAAAGAATGAAATAATTTCAATAAAGTAAACTTTTGTATTAGGCAAGCTCACGTATCTCAAGTCGGCGCGGCTCAAACTGCAAATGTATGATTGAAATTAAATATTGTGCGTGTGTGTATTTTGAAAATCAATAAATTGTAGCTGCATAACATAAATATATAAAAAACATACTGAACTGTTTTGTTTATATATTAAAGGAAATATTTTATTGTATTTTATGTTTACTTCAGAATAAATGCATTATGAAAATAACACACACAAATGTTCTATATGAATAGGAAAATAATTTAGTTTGATATTATGATAGGGAAAAGAAGCTAGTTTGGTATTAAAACGTTACTTTTCCATGTTAGAAACATTTTGATGCGTTATAATCTTTTTAGAGATGCTCGTTAATACCACTATAATGCCGATCTCTGATTACGGTAATAAAATAACACTTAACGCATAACTATGAAAAAGACATGCAGATTAACAACTTTAGTTATAGATAGTCACCTGCAATATGGACACCCTCCTTCAACTTTGTTTCAAAAATCATCATAGAGCCGCGCCGACTTGAAGTACGTGAGCTTGCCTAATACAAAAGTTTACTTTATTGAAATTATTTCATTCTTTTTAGAGCGTTTGAAGTCAGTTGTATTTTTTTACAAAAATAAATTATTAAATTCTTCTACTAAATTACTATTCTTTTCTAAAAGGTTAATATTAAAATCAGCTGCTATAACAATTTGTTTCTTTTTTGCCTCAATTTTCAAAACAGTTAGGAAGCTTTGAAATTTTTTAAGAAACAAATTACTAATGCAATTTCCTGGTATTCTATAGACTGATACAATTAACAAATTAAGATCTTCAATTTCTACAAATGACCCTTCAAAGATAAACTCCTCATTGAAAGTTTTACTTAGATCTTGTCGTGAAATGGTAGAAAGGGAATCATGGACTAATATACAAGATCCACCTCTAGAGTAATTCCTGAAAAATCCATCCCTCAAACTGAAATTGTGTATTCTATTTAACAACAGTTTATTTGATTCTTTTATATTATGTTCATTAAAGCAAATTATTTTAACATTTTTTGTGCTTTCTAATAAAATATTTATCTCTTCAAATTTTTGCTTAATTCCTTGAATGTTGTAGTGCATTATACAATTACTTAGATTTTTTGACAACACAATTTCATTCAAGTCCCCATTAATGTTAAGTGAACAGACAGATTTTTTGAGTTGTCACTGGGGCTAGGATAATTACTGTTGATTGTTGAATCAGCACTGTCTATGGATTCTGTGGAGGTCTCGACATGTGATGTTTTGCTCTGAGGATCAGTCTGTGGAAGTGGTGAATCAGTGGTTCGGGGTTGTTCGTGAGCTGTCATCAGGTTGATAGTGTTCTTCAGCCGGACAATAAAGGTTTGATGTGAAATGCCTCTTCTTAGTCTTCTGTTTGTTTCTTCATTGTGTGTTATAACCTGTATTTTTGCTCCTGTAAATTGTTGGAATTGAACTAGTTTTGTCACAAAGTGTTGGATTTGAATTCTGTCCCGGACGCATCCCATTAGCGAGCAAATAAGATACTTTAACTTTTTTCTTTCAAAGTCTGTGGTCATATCTTCAAAAGCAGTGTTGTAGTCATCTATTTCTGGTTTATTGTAATATTTTTGTTTTGTAACCAGTCCGTAGACAAAAGTACCGTCCGTCTCTTGGCAGGTTAGGTGAGTTGTGATGAGGTCAGCGGTGGTAGGCTTTCCAGGGTGCTCTGCGAACACTGTTGCAACACCTTGACTCATATGTTTGCATTCTCCAAAGTCTGCAGAGATGCAATGGGCATAAGCCGTTGCATTATCTTTTTCCTTTTCCTGAAAAATCTTCCCCATGTCACCTTCAATGACTTGAATAAACTCACTGGTTTTGGTGGTTTCTAGTGCACCTGTGCCGGCCAAGGATTTATTTTTGATTGAGTTTTTATTAATGCATTGTAAAATTTTCTCTGTAAAAGCTTTCTTGCCTTTTTTGTTTAAGTGTAATCCGTGACTGGTATAATAATGGCGTGGCAGATTGTGAAGTGGGAGGATTTGAGCATTGTTGGATGAGTGTAATATTAATTTCTCAATTTCTTAATTTATTATTGTTAATTTACTGTCCAACTCAGGTTTGTCATGGCGCATAGGTAATGTAGCTATGATTAGGTTGGTGTGACGTGTGGTAAGAAGTAGGGTGCTATAGAATAATTAATTATTAAAACACATTTTAAGTAAACTAAATCAATACTATTTATTTACAAGAACAAAACATAATGTAAACAAACCAAATAGCAGATGATTCATAACTTTATAACTCAGCTGATAATAATAATCCTACATTTCTCCCCACCCAATTTAGGCTGAGTTATCGAAACTATGTACATCATCAGTTTCAGGTTCCATTTGCATTTTATTTTCCATTGAGGTGGATCAGTTGCACCTTCTCTTGCTCTCAGCTGGTCAGCGTGTTTTCTCTTTATATCTCCCCCTACTAAAACGGTGTATGATAGCTCTCCCGTCCTTTCTTGTACGGTTCCTGGTCTCCAGCCCTTCTTCGTTTCATTTTGAACCCACACTTCTTGTTTGGCAGAAAACTCCTTTTGTTTGGATTTTAAGTCGTGATAGTACTTCTGTCGCCACACTTGATTTTCTATTCTCTCTCTGCTATTATACCTCCACCTGTCCAAAGCTGTTGGTAATCTTCTACCATAGAAAAGGACTGATGGTGGTTGTCCTGTGGTCTTTTGTGGGGTATTTCGATAAGCAAGCAACACTTGTAAAAGTGCAAGTGATGAACTGAGACCTTCTTGTTTGCAAGCACTATATCGACTCTTGAAGGTTCTGATAATCCTCTCCACTAAACCATTGGTTTTTGGATGATACGGCGCAGATGTAACATGACATATGTTATTGTCCTTACAAAAACTCTTAAACTCATGAGATGTGAAGGGGGTGCCATTATCCGATACAATTTTTTTAGGAACACCATACCTCGAAAACCAAGTCCTTAATCTATTTACAAGAGCAGCAGTTGTCGTACGGTCCATAACTTCGATCTCAACCCATTTTGAGTACGCATCGATTCCTACTAACCAGAATCGGTTGTCGAATGGACCTGCGAAGTCAAGATGAATTCGCTCCCATGGATCACTTGGCACATTCCAAGGATATAGAGGTACTTCTGTGTCAAATGATCGGTTACTCTGGCAAGGGTGGCATCTACGGACATAAACCTCAACATCCTTATTCAGATTAGGCCACCAAACATAATACCTTGATAGGGATCTCATTGCCTCTATTCCAGGATGTCCTTTGTGGAGTTCTTTCAATACATTTTCTCTCAAAATCTGTGGCACTACAATTCTTCCTAATCGCATGATTATGCCGTTTTCTAATGTCAGCTCTTCTCTCTTATTCCAATATGGTTTCATGGATGGTGGTAAGTTTCCTGTATCTTTTGGCCAACCATGTTCCAGGTAGTCTATAAGTTTCTTCATATTTGGATCTTTCTTATACTCCAGTACAAGTTCATGATTTGGATAAACTACGTCAATTTTCTCCTGAACCAATGCTCGAATCTCTCTCTCATCTGGATCCAATACTTCTTGTGTCTTGAGTGAAAACCGAGATAAAAAATCAGCCAAACAATTATCCTGTCCCTTGATGTACTGGATCTCAAAATCGTACTCCATTAAATACAAAGCCCAACGAACCAAACGGTTGTTTACTACTTTGGTAAGATCTCGATGCATTCCAAATATTCTTTCAAGTGGCTTGTGGTCCGTCCTCACCTTGAAATGTCTTCCACTGAGGTATTGTCTAAACTTCTTCACGGCAAAAACTAACGCCAGTGCTTCCTTGTCAACTGTAGCATACCTTTTTTCTGCTTCCGTTAGTGTCCTTGAGGCGTACATGACTGGCCTTTCTGTTCCATCCGGCATCAAATGTAACAGCACTGAACCAACACCTTGTTCAGAAGCATCACATTCAACAATGATCGGCTTTGATATGTCGTATGGGACTAATGTCTTCTCTAATGACAGGATATTCTTTAACTTGTCGAACGTAGTTTGTTCGGTGTCAGTCCATTTCCATTTAGTCTTCGTACCAGTCAGCTTATGCAAGTTCGAAGCGATCGCATGCAGATTAGGTATGTACCTATCGTAAAAATTTAGTGCCCCTAGAAAGGCTCGCAATTCTTTCACGTTTCTTGGCCTTGGTGCGTGTCTTATGGTTTCAACTTTGTCTTCGGAGGGATGAATACCATTCCCATCTATTGTATGGCCTAAATACTTTACAGATTTCTGAAAGAACTTACATTTTGACAGTTTTGCTCTTATTCCACTTGATTCTAGCCGTCTCAAAACTTCTCTAAGAGTGGTTATATGGGTGGTCTTATCCTTACTAGAAATGATTATATCATCCAGTAGAACTCCGACATTAAGTCCTTTTAGTAAACTTTCCATGTACCTTTGAAATTTTGCTGGACTTGAGGAAAGCCCAAAAGGCAACCTTTTGTAGCGAAAGTAGCCAACATGAGTTGCTATCGTAAGATACTTTTGTGACTCAGGATGTACTTTCATTTGCAAGTACGCGTCTCGAAGATCTATGACTGAAAATATCTTTCCATCAGTTAATTTAGAAGTCAAGTCATCAAAGGTTGGCAAGAGGTGTCTCTCCGGAACGATGTTTGGATTCAAGGTTGTACGAAAATCGCCACAGATTCTGACTCTACCTCCACCCTTGTCTACGTTGACTGTTGGGGTACTCCATTCTATCGGTGTTTCGGAAGGGTCCACTGCTTCCAAAACTCCTTCCTGTACTAATCGCTGTAATTCTCTTTCCACTGCCTCCCTTAAGGGGAATGGAACTCGTCTTGCCCCGTACGATACAGGTTTTGTTTCACTTTTTAGATGGATAACTTCATTAGAGTCAGATATCGTTCCTAGCTCATCACGAAAGAGTTCAGAAAACTCCTGAGTTAATGCCTCAACTTCTTTTTGTAACTCTTTTCTATAACTTTCTTCATTCTTGCCGGTCTCTTTACTATTTGTCTTTCCATTATCAATACGCCTAACCCTTACTTCCCTAGGCAAATTAAGATTGAAAGCTACACTCCACGGCAACCCAAATAATGGAACATCATCTTCTAGTAATACAATAACTGGCAATCGCTTAGTACGATTACGTAAAGTAACGTCCACAAAAGCCTTGCCCATGACTTCTAGCTTATTTTTCCCATAGCCAGTGATGACATCAGACGTCTTTTTTAGAGATTCGCCACTTGAATTGATCTTATCCCAAAGAGACAAACTTATAGCACTTACCCGAGCCCCGGAATCAAACTCCATTCTAACATTATACCCGTTCAATTCTACATCTATTGTAGCTCTCGGAACCTTACTCTTGACTGACCTAATTTGTGTTCCGCTAACATCAATATCAGAATTACATTCATCATCGTAAGTTTGATCACAAGAACCATCTACTTTTCTCAAATTACCATCTGTTCTCTTGAAAAAGTTATTTTTACTTTTACACATTCTTGCGAAGTGGCCTCTCTTTGTACATTTCTTGCACACAGCAGAAACAGCAGGACACCTATCTTCACTTGGGTCATGTGTAAACCCACATCTATAACACCTATTGAAACCAGTAGATTTATTTACCTCTGGTTTCCTCTTTTCCTTACTGTCACTTACTTTAAAAATCTCATTTTTACACGAATGTTTGGAAACTTCTTCTCTCGCGCGTTCCATAGATTGAGCTAACTCTAGTACTACTGTTGACTTAACAAGCTCACCTCGGTTATTAACTCCCTCGGGCCATCTTTGTCTGACTTCGACTTCAAATTCTGGACAGTTGCTTCCTACTGCAAACCTATCTCGTACTCGTTCATCTAAGCTATCTCCATATTTACAACTTCTAGCTAAAGACTTCAATCTGTTATAAAACAAAATAAATGTCTCACCATCTTTTCTTATTGCTCTTTCAAACTCAAACCTTGTCGCAAAAAGGGTCCTTGTAGGCTTGAACAACCGGTTGGCTTCCTCCTTGACTTCGTCGTAGGTGCACTCCTCCCAGGCCCTTGGATACATCTGGTCCGACAGTGCCCTGAGGTGCTCCTCTCCGACATTTGCCAATAGAAGATCTCGCCGAGCCGCTTGTTCTTCTGTGTTAGCACCGCCCAGTCCCTTAACTCTGCAGGTCAACTCAAAACGAGCTATGTAGTCTTCCCACAATTGTTCACTATTATACTCTTTAAATGAAAATCTGCTCATTCTATCTTGTATGCAAGACATGTTACTACAGTCAATTACACTCTTATACTGTGACTGGTCTGTTTTCCTAGGCATTTTCTCGTCGCCAATATAGAATAATTAATTATTAAAACACATTTTAAGTAAACTAAATCAATACTATTTATTTACAAGAACAAAACATAATGTAAACAAACCAAATAGCAGATGATTCATAACTTTATAACTCAGCTGATAATAATAATCCTACAGGTGCGAACATCATCCAAGATATGTTTTACCTTTGTATGACCAGCGTCATTAGTTCCAGCTACCACAAGCAGGTAATCTTCCTTTGACAGGTTCCATGCGAGATCTACAATATCTTCAGTAACACCACTAAATTTAGCATTTGGTCTCACATGAGCAGTGACATTTATAGGAGTACACTGTTGCACCATGTTGCTTAAACCATGTCCATGACTATCCGCCATAATTAGTAGCCTTGAGTTGGTGACAGATGTGTTTTTACTTTTTAGCTGTTTTTTAATTTCAGCTACATAGTTCTTATTAAGTGTGGTTTTGTTTTGTTTAGGTTCTTCTGATTGAGTGACGAATGCCTCTAGGTTTGTAGACTCATTATTAGCAGTTTCCTCACTAAAATTTTTTAAAAGAAGTTCATATTTGTTTTGGGTAGCAACTGACGGCTTCTGAGTTGTAGTCCTGTTTCTCGAAGTATGTAAAGGTGTCTGCCATAAATTTTCTTGTGAGTTCTGGGTTAGTGGAGGGTTTAATGTAGGAAAGCAGGTGAGACATTTTTGTTCTATACTAGCTTTTGTGATACTTTCTTCAAGATCCTTATAATCTTTCCTCAATATGGTTATGATGCTATTTAGATTTTCAATTTCAGCTTTAGCTTGTTTCAGCTCCTGTAGTAAAATTTGTGTTTGGAAGTCTGAGTTATTAGTAACAGGCGTGCTGCTTATATTATTATGTTGATTTTCTGCTGTAGGAGAATTTCTTAGGTCTAAACTTGTAGGAGTGTTTACTGCTTTATCACAGTAAGAAGCCCTATAATTGCTGTTGTCACAGATCTGTACTTCTGTCTGTGGTTTGTGTAACTTAGGAGTTGAACAGGGTTTTTTTCCCAGCTGTACTTGTGCATTTAATTTCTATTGTTCTTGATGGTTTTGGTGTAGAGTTCTGATTTTGTTTAATTTTTACTGCTCTTTCAATTTCTTGAAGTGCTGAATTAAAACTTTTTTGTTTTTCCTTGTAAGTACCCAACCTGGCTTTATTTTCAGCATAAAGACAGACTTTGGATTGTGTGCACTTTGCTGTTTCCTTTGTACCAAAAAAAGTGACATGAAAATATTTTATTTTATTTATTTCCTCTACCTTATCTACCATAGCTGGCCAAGGAGGATATCCCCTCACTGTTGCAAAGACAAAATCCCCTTCTTTGAATGTCATATTTTGCCAGGTTATTTTATGATAAATAATATTTCAGAGAAAGCATAAATATTTTTATATTTATGTCACAAGTCTTCTTCCTTATTTAACTAATAAATAATGCATGTTTTACATATATTTATATTGTTAGTTTTAAGTATATTTAAAAGTTGAGTAAAATAAAAAAAAAAAATAAAAAAAAAAATCTCTTATCTCTATGATAAGAGATAGAGGAGCGAGCTGGTCTAGCGGTTAGAGCGCGGGACTTCGGTCCCGGGTTCAAATCCCGCCAAATCGCCAATAGATTTTATCTAAGTGATAGTGCCGCAACCCCTAGATCTAGCCTGAAGTATTGTGCAAAACAATCCCGGGCTCGTGCAAAAAGCGTCTTCGGGCAAAAAAAAAAAAATATGATAAAGAGATAAGTTAACATTTTCAAACCACAAGTTTATTCCATTTTGTGTGTAATAGTCAAAGAACCATTCTAGAAGTCCTCTCTATTGAAGATCTTAGTTTTGAAAAACTAGACAATGCTACCTTGGCGCAATAAGAAGCTCAAATAATTCAGACATATCTAAAATTCAAAGCCATATTTAAATGCAGCCAAAAGAAGTATGTTTTAATTGAATAAAATTCTATCATTAGCCTTTTGATATTGACCCATTTGGAAACCCAACCACTAAATAAATAAATAGGTAAATGAGAGTAGTAAATACACTTGCCATTTTGAAAACCATCCTAAGTGGTTGTTATGTAGGCCTGGGCTTCGAAGGCGAAGAAAGTTTCCTTCTGCAAAAAAAATTGTTCAACATCAAACACTTTAAATATATAGCATTTTAATCCTAAGAAATAGAAATCAGTTGTTCCAAGCTAAAAGGATACTTCCTGTCAAATTCAGCATTTTATTCTATTGACGATTTCCTTAAAAAAATCATTAGTTACTAAAGTTTTAATAAATCAGGGTTTAGAAAAGAAAATGTAATGTCTTTTTTTGGATTTAGGTTTTGGAAGTTCAAAAGAATATTTCATTGAACATCATTAAGTCTCTTTCTAATTTAAATTCACTTATTCAATAATCTGTAATTTTGTGTTGTTGTGTGTTTGTCTTTATTCAATATAAATGTAGAACGAAAATGATTTTTTTAATTATGTCTCTTTCCCATGTTAAAATTAAAAAGTTAGGGAGCTGAGTGGATATGCCCACGAATACTTGAACAGAACCGGTATGGATCATAAACATAAACAAATGACGTTTTTGGCCCGAAAATAAACATTATTCAACATTTCTTAAATAGAACTGTCAAACCATAATGCTATTAGTATAAGATTCAGGCTAGCAACGTCATTTGTTTATGTTTATGACCCATAACGGTTCTGTTCAAGTATCTATGGATATGCCTATCTAGCAATAAGAAAGCAAAAAGCATGAAGAAAAGTTAGTAGCTTTTTGATGGTTTGAAATAGGGCCCAACCGTTCTTAATCATTTCCTGAATCATAAGCTGATCTTAAGTCAATAACAAAGCTACACAGATCATCTCAAAACATTTTACACTCATCTTTCATTAAAATTCAACTAAAAGAAAACACATAAGTGACATCGCTGTCTTAAAATAGTTAACTAAAGTATTGTAATGATATCGTTACTTCAAAGGCTACTTGATCCATACATAAATCAAAAGGGGCCAATAATCCAACCCTGAGTTATTCCAATTCTCATTCTCACAACAAAAAGTCAATAGCATTCCAAAAACTTAAAATGCCTACACGCACCTCTTCTAACTAAAGTATTGTAATGATATCGTTACTTCAAAGGCTACTTGATCCATACATAAAATAAAAAGGGGCCAATAATCCAACCCTGAGTTATTCCAATTCTCATTCTCACAACAAAAAGTCAATAGCATTCCAAAAACTTAAAATGCCTACACGCACCTCTTCTTCTTGGCCGAGAGTGATTCTTGCCCACTATCTGAGTCGCTGTCTGACATGCTGGAATCACTGGAGTCGCTGGAGCTGGAGCTAGAGCAGCTGGAACTGTCACTGGCCACTCCAGTGTCTTGGTTCAGGTCCACCTGGTCTGCTAGGGCGGCCAGCTCAGGTTCCTTCACCTGTAACATTGCACAAGTATCGACAAATGCCTGCATATTAAATATCTCAAGTTATGCTAACACATGAACATATCCTCTAACGGTCTTGTTTGTTATTCCAAGGTTTGATTGTGAACTTGGCATCTCAATCATCTATCTTTTCTTCACATGACTCTTTGTTCTAGTGCTGTAGGCTATTTGTGTTAAAATATCATAGAAGAGGTATGTAAATCATCTCAGTGGCGGCTAGCCCATAAGGATTCTTGGACGCCGCCCTCCCAACAATACATAAATAAATTACATTTTAATATTCATCAGTTACATTAAATTAAAACAACTTTTCCGAGTACTTAAAAAATATAAAATATATAAAAAAAAATGGTCATTCAATTCAGTAATGACTTATTATTGATCGTCGTTTGCTTAGTAAAGGCGGCGTGGATGGTGGCCAGACCGTCCCATTCCCAATACACAGTCTTATGGCAGAACAACCGAACAGCCCTGAGGGTGTAATGACTTTGTTGCAATGCTTTAGAATGGGCGCTTTGGGGCAGAGTCCAAAGCTAGACGCACACTCCCGTGGTCACGGAAACGTCATCGCCGTTATTCACAATCACAGCAAAATCACTAAAATATCGCACAGCCGTTTGGACATCATTATCATCTCCTGCGTGATCGTGGCAAAATCACTAAAAAATCCCAAGTCTATTTGGAGATCACCATCGTCTCCCACAGTCACGAAAACGTCGTCATCATCGTCATGTGCGATCGCGGCTAAATCACTATAAATCTCACGGCCGTTTTGACATCATCATCGTCTCCCGCGGTCACAGAAACATCACTGTTGTCTCCTTTAGTCACAGAAACGTCACTGTTGTCTCCAGCGGTCACGGAAAGGTCTCTGTCGTCTCCTCCGGTCACGGAAACATCATCGTCGTCTCCCGCGATCACGGAAACGTCATCCTCGTCTTCCAAGGTCACGGTAACTTCATTTTCATGTGCGATCGTGGCAAATTGAAATTTTCAGGTAAAATATGAAATTCACACATAATTCCCGGTTTTTTCCCGGTTAAAAAAATCACGCACAGTTCCCAGTTTTCCCAGGTTACCAGGTAGCCTACCCGGTGGACACCCTGCTATACTATTTGCACCACCTACAAAAATTATCAAGTGATCGATAAATCGATAAATATTCAAGTATTCACTGATTTAAAAGTCTTAAACTCCTACGTCTTTTCAACAAACAGAAAAAGAGCAAATAACAAAAATCCATCACAAAAAGCAAAACAAATATTTTTCAAGAATTTCTCCTTATTTTCTACCATAATTTTCTCAAAGACAATGAAGGAATACCCACCTTCAGTCTGCGGTACCACTTGCGCGACAGCTTGGGTCGGCCACGCAGCGTCTTGTGCCATACGATTGGGAAGTTGGTCCTGCTGCAGAAGTTCTGCGTGACGGCAATGGTCGTGTCCAGATTGAGCACGACATGCCACCAGCCTCCAGGAACGAACACCGTCTCTCCCGGACCTTGTAGGATCTCCACCTGGGATAGCCGGATCATTAGAATGCAGACAACTGGGAACATCTACCCACCCTACCTCTGAGTGATTATCTATGATTTCATAACCCGGATAAAAGCTCTATGAGTGGTCTCAAGTTAAAAAATCAGTCATACATGAAGAGGTAAAAATAGTTATATTTTCTTCTTGATTCTTAACAAGAATTTGCTGAAGATACAAGTTATCTTAGCCACATTATTACTGCGGCAATAGGCAATCCTCTCCTATTGATCTACAGTACTTACAGGTTTACAGTCCTGTGGCCAGGACGGTAGTTGTGTCCGAGGGTAGATGACCTTGAACCACGTGATGGCTTCGTCTCTCTGCTTGCCTCCCTCGGCTGACGTCACCTTGATCAG